ATCTAAAGGGCGAACACGAAATTATTGCGACACATTCAACAGGGCATAACTTTTTTACCATTGGGTAAAAATCAACCAAATTTTGCACACTTTCTCATTGATGTGTATTGTGTACATGCTGTCAAACTCGAAGTCGTGTTTTTCGATTCAACGAAAATGGAGGTGAACCAACGCGAGTTGAGAGAACAAATTCTTTCCAAACACCTGGAATTTCCTGACCTGTCGCACCGGAAGTTGGGAAAAATGTTGAACATTCACCATTCAACCGTCTCCAGAGTGTTGAAGCGGTTCCAGGAGCGGTTAACGTTGGACCACGGCAAAGGAGCTGGAAGAAAACCGGGACCGGAGAACAAAAAGACGGAGGGAAAGGTGAAGCGGATGATTAAAGAAAATCCCAACGTCTCAAGCCGTGATTTGGCTAAAAAGATCGGCATGTCGCAGAGCTACGTCCAGAATGCAAAGAAGAGAGCTGGACTACATACATACAAGGTACAGAACTTCCTAAACCGCGATGAGCGGCAACAATCGACGGCTAAAACTCGGGCACGGAAGCTCTACGAGAAGATGCTGACAAAATATGGCTGCTGTGTGATGGACGACGAAACGTATATAAAAGCCGATTTTAAGCAAATTCCGGGGTTGGAGTTTTTCACCGGCTAGAGCAAGTTCGATGTGGACGACAAATTTAAAAAGAAGAAAATGTCGAAGTTCGCCTCCAAATATTTCATTTGGCAGGCCATCTGCTCTTGCGGACTGAGGAGTGAGCCTTTCGTGACAAAGGGCACAGTAAATGGCGAGATCTACAAATATGAGTGCCTCGAGAAGCGCCTTTTGCCGTTCTTGCAGCAGCACGACGAAGCTCCGCTATTTTGGCCAGATTTGGCATCATGCCACTATTCAAAAAGTGTTCTGGAGTGGTATGAGGCCAATTCTGTCCATTTTGTTCCAAAGGACATGAATCCGCCAAACTGTCAGGAGCTGCGCCTGGTGGAGCAGTACTGGGCAATAATGAAGCGGGAACTTCGGAAGAGCAAGAAGACAGTCAAAGACGAGAAGGACATGTTAAGAAAATGGAAAAAAACTGAGAAACTGGTACCGGATGACACTGTAAAGACTTTGATGGAGGGCATCAAGCGAAAATGCGTTCAATTTTGCACTCAAGGCTCCATCGATTAACTTTTCTTTTGATTTTTGAAGTAAATATATGTATAAAACTACCCTAAAATTTTGGTTTGATTCTAAACATTATAAGAAAATTGGCATGACATTTTCGGTGTCGCAATAATTTCATGTTCGCCCTTTACCTGTGCACCAACTCTCAAAACATAAACAATTATCTAAATATTGCTTGTAATGAATAGGTATCGAGTTAACTATAGGTTATGTTTATTTTTCAACCGATTCGAGTATGAATATGGCACTAAATCTAATTTTGAAAGTTGGTGCACAGGTAAAAAGTGAGGTTACGGGACGCCACTGTCACAATCCCTCTACAAAGGGGGAGTTTGGTAAAGAGAGATGATAAAGCCGATCAAAATCTCTTCCTACCCAAACACATTTATAGGCTTGTTGCAAAATTTGATCCGCGAAATCCGCGATTTCTCAAAAAGAAATAATTGAAAAGTTTCCATTTTTCAACAAATTTAGAGATAATTAGGACTTTTACATATATATAGGGGAAATGACGGCTTCGGCATGCCAGACTATTTTCGGTAACCCAAATTGAAACACTATTTTCACTGGATTTTCTTACGAAAACACTTCGCTGAATGCATGCAAACGATTCTTTATGCTTTCAGCTTTAATTTGACTATATTTTTACCACTGAGAAAAAGTAATCTAGCAAGGTTTTCTTGAAATGAAACACACGCACTACAAATTGTAGCTGATTTCGAGTTGCCGATAATAGAACAGCAGATTTACATGCAGTTCAAATGGAACGGTTGCCGAAGAAAAACTGGTTGCCGACAATACTCGCTCTCACTAGAGAAGATTGGAGCTTTGTAAAAGCGTTTCAAAACAGTTTTTGACAATTCTTTCGACTGAAATTGTTAGAACAGCTGGCAGCAAAAGATTGTAAACAAACCAATACTGCATATGTGTTCGTTCCTTAGAGAAAAAGGCTATAGAAAGAAGGTCGCTGCTTAGGTTGCCGAGTATACGTAAATTCCCCTATATATTTTTTACTAGAAATCACAAAAAAAAATGTTTTTTTTCTAGAAAAACATTGCTTTTCTATATTTGTCTCAGACGTCCGATCAGAAAAGCCGTTTTCGTGTTACAATTTGTTGAAAATTATTAAAGACGCCATTTTTTAAATTTTACAAGTTCTAAAATGGCCGAATTTTAGGAAAAATGTGAATCATTGCCCACAAAAAACAATTATGCAAAGTTTCATGTAAATCTGAGAAAGTCAAGCTTTTCCGGTTCGTCATTTGGCGTGGTACTGCTCATTAGAAAATTTTCGGACATCGAAACATCCAGCTGGATGACGTTCTGCTAAATACTTGTTACTTATCGGTGGTCTATAGATTATATTACAACTATGCAGCTCGAAATGACCATTTTAAAACTCATTAAATACGTGTCAATCAAGTATGTATTGCAGCGCTGCCTGATTAAAATTATCAATACATTATCAGTGATAAGTCTAATAGCGAATTTGTTTATTATCGGGGTTGGAACCAGTTCCAACCCAGTGCGAAACCGAACTTTTTGTCAGAGCGAACCTCAACCTGAGGTAGGTTTTAAAACAAACGATCAAACTGACGTTTGTCAGAATACAAGCAGACCCAATCTTGATACCCGATCCAGGTTGGAACTGAATAATAAACAAATTCGCTATAAGTAAGTATTGGGGCGGGGCTTATCGTATGCCAAAATGAAACTTCTAATTAGCGGAGTGAAGCTTCTTGCAGCAATAAGATGATTTCATTCATATTGCCAGTGCCAGGCAGTAAGCGTCAGATTTTTCATTAAATGATCTGAAATATAACCATTTTTTTTTAAATTCTGGGATCTATAAAAAATTAAGTTAAAAAACCTGAATGTATGCACCTATGGTGAGATCTGACCATTTCAAAATCTTGTCATTACTATAATCATAAAAACTAAAGTAATTTACCTATGGTGAGACCCACACTGTTTGTCGGATAAACTCTTACATTACTTTCAGGATCCACCGCCTAGAAAAAAATGCGCCATATTTTGAATATATTTCGTGACAACTGCTTTAAATTTACATTGCAAAGGTTTATACTTTCCAACTCCGAGACCTAATGCTAAAAATGTGACATGCACCGCACTGGAAAAAAAGAAAAACTGTAGCGTGTTCTGACCCCATCAATCCTGACAAACAACTGTGCCAATTAGCCATTGTTTCCCAGAAGGGCACAGCCAAAGCGAAGAGGTACACTAATCAATTAAGAAACAAGTTCACTTTCGAAAGTTTGTTCAATTTTCCTCCGCCAAACAATATCAACCATGCAAAGCGAAGACATCAGCGAACAGAGCAACGGCGCTTCTTTTGAATTTTATGTATCTTGCCAAATCGTTGGTAGGCTCAGCCAGCACTACGCAACCAACCATCAACCAATCATTGATTATGCAGTCATTTTTTTTTTGTTATTGCTTTTATCCGTTTGCCGGCACCTCAAACGACAACGGTCCAAAAAACGGTTTCCAAGTAAATCCACGTGCCATCCGATTACGCGGTGGTACAATATTAGGTTTCGATTTGGGCTAATACCTAACCGAAGAAAGTTGAGATTTTTAGGCATTGATCACCAGGAAGACAAATAAAACTGAGAAATCATCCAAAAGACGACGACGACGACGGACTAGCTACGGCAGACAAGTTCAATGACTTCATCTCCCTTATGGTTGAGCATCGTGAAATGGTAATTATAGAGAGCGCAATTGGCTGACTACAGCAGCAGCAACAGCGTCAGTGATAGTTTTGTGATCGTGTGTCACGAAAAAATGCATCCCACCCCTCAGGTTTGTGGCTGGCGTTCCTCCTGGGCAGAGAGAAGATCGCACCTCTAGTACCTACTCTCCCTTTCATCATCCGAAGTGTGACTGTTTAAATTGGGCCAACTATTTTGGTGAGCACCGGTCGATCTCTGTGTTCAAGATTTACTTGAATGTATAATGAAGTTGACAGGTTGAAATTGTAAAAATAACTTTAGATGCTTGCGGAGATTCTTTCCGTGAGGTAATTATTCTCGTGAGGTAGTAAAATAGATGTCTGTACTTTTTTTTATACTAGGGCATACCACACGTCAAGGTCGAGCCAAGGAGACAGCGGTGTTGAAGTGTTGGAAAAAATATTTCATAATTTTGCCCCTTTGCATCAGCCAATTAGGCTGATGGAAAGTCAAAAATTATACATGTCAGTAGGAAAAAAAATCAGCCCTTTTCAAAATCATCACTCACTTTGCGGTTTATCATAAAACTACATAAATTATGAATCTAGGCTGATGCAAATTGTATTTATAATTTATGTCACTCCCATCCCCTCCCCGCTATTAAAAAAATAAAAAAATATTGTAGAGGCAACACAATAATTTACCCAATTCAAAATCGTCTTTCGCTAAAGCGCATAAAACTACATATTTTTTTTATAAATTTATTAATTTATCATTAAATGAATTGTTATTCTTTTTTTTATTTTTTTTTGTATCAAATTACTAACTTAATTAAATACCACTTCGGGGTGAAATTGATCAAAAGTTGTTTGCCTGATTTTTATGACATAGTCCAATAGTTATTGCAGTTAATTTATAATCAACTTTACTTATTAAATGTCTGTAGAGTGTGAGTTGATGTCATTACTATTTATAAATATTGATCAAATGTGTGGAAAATATGTTCATACTCATGCATAATGGGAACAAACAGAAGGGTAAAGTGTGGATTGCACTTAGTATGACGGAAAAGAGATCTTAACCCTATCTACATATAAACAAAAATTCCCACCGAACAACATGAGGACTAACCTGACTGACCCGGCGCAGCTCGATGCGGCTTGTTGTGCTGCTGTACTGCAGCAGGTGATGGCGACGGTTCCTCCGGTTCTTCACCACTCAAGATGTACAACAGACCTTCGCGGAACTCCCCGAATGAAACCTGAGTTTTGCCCTCACGTAGCAGCCGTTTTAACAGCTCGGCAGGTTTCGGCAGCTCCAACGTCTTGCACAACTTCAGCAGCGCTTCCCGGTTCAACTTTCCCTGGGAATGGACATCATGTTCCTGGAACAGACTGTACAGCCGCTGCTCGTACGGATCCGACGATAGGGCCATCTTTCTTTGCCGTTGTTGTTTTACCCCACTGATCTACTTAGGACGAGCTGGCGGCGGATCGAATCTCGTGCACTCTGATTTTCTCTTCTTACGCCTTTTCCTCTTCTTCACACTGTTACAAAACATACGACAAAAGATTTATGTTGTTTATTTTGCTTCGCGTTTTTCCACACTTTTCTCGCCTTTTTATCCGTTTCTAAATAGCGGATTGTTGGCCACTGAACATAATACACTATTTTCTCACACAATAATATTATCTAGGGCAGGCCACAGACACTCGCTCGCTTTATTGGCCAAACTTTTGGGGTTTAATTTTATGACCGCTATGACATTCTTCGCACGCAAACCTGAGCCCTGGGGGACTTCTTAACTGTATTATCTTTGTTCCACACACTAGCTTCTTAGCGTAGCAGATAGACAAGCTATTTTTTCAAAAGACCTTGCCGCTTGCGACCGAGACAACGACGTCGATGACGACCATGACGACCCGAAACGCGAAAATGGAAAGGTAGTCGTCCGCCACCCAGTCATCGACTTCTCTCTATACGTGTATACTGAACTTCTCCTGCCAAGAGCAGCAGCGCTAGGAAATCGATTTTGCTCCGCTATTTTTCCAATCTTCCACTCACGACTTGATCCGTACAGTTACACTTCCAAATTTTGCACCACAATTTTCACAATCCGCTCAATTTTCCGCACTTCTAGAACAATGCCAACACAAAGATCGATCCCGAAACAATAGTTCTACAAAGGAACAAGGGTTTCTCCCCGCAGAGAAGCACTATTGTGAAATAATTTCTCTTCTTTTTATCGCAAAGGCTGACTGTATTCGTACGGAGTAATGTGATGATGAATAAATACTGCTAAGTGGCGAGCTGCTCTGCGAGATTAGGCCGTGTCCCGAAGCGAGCGAAGGTGAACGCGTAATCATCACACACAAGAAAACCTCGCGAGAAAAACTTGATTCGCGTGAAAAGAACTGTCAATAATGTGTGTTGACAACACTCACCCGCTGCTGGGTGGATGGGCTCGGACGTCTGGTCGAAAAAAACATCGCATGGATAATGCGGATTTATGAGTTATTTGTAATTGGGTCAAAAAGGATTGAATTTGTTTTATTGGTTACCCTAATAAAAATGTTATGGTTAATTTGCTTAACGACGTGTTCTGGGTATCATCCAAACCATTTGTGGAATAGTTCCATTATTTGGGTTATCGTTCGTTTTTGGTAATTTTTTATTAGGGTACCTTGTTGGCTGCTCGGTTGGCTGCAACTACATCTGAACTGCTACAAAAATGCAAAAAGTGTGATAAAAGAGCACGTTTGCGTCAAATCGTTTTATTGTCTTCGGAGCATTTATTTAAAGCATCCAAAGCTTCATAAGCAGGCATGGAAAATCATTTACATTCATTTCGTACATGAATTTACATTCATTTGCCTCTAACTTCTTTGATCAAAAGAATCCCGTAAAATAGTGTATGACGTTTTTGTAGGTTCTGATGTTAGCAACAACTTTTGTATTGAAGTAATGAAATTGGGTTGTTAGCGGAATGCTTAAATAAAACAGCAATAAAGGGTTATCTTCCATTTAATTCCACTTAATTAATTTTGGTATCCATGACAGATACGTATTTCGACTACAATGTGCAGTCATTCCCACTAAAGAACTTATCAAAATCTAACCCCCTTAAGTACTCATCTCCTAGGTAAAAAAAAGTCAAGATCACAGGTATAAAAATGAAACTACAATGTGTTGAATCTGAACCTACCTAACTAATAAAAACCCTCGTAAAAACCAAAGATTTAAGAAAAGTAAAGGAGAAAAATCTATACAACTCTCTAATAAGGAACTTTTGTATGAAAATCAAATCTGTATCTCATATGCATGACGAACTAAAGCGAGTTGAACTTGATATTGTTGATTGACAGCAAACAGACATAACACTCGCAAGTCGTTAATCGAACAAGCATTTAAAGGACAATTTAAAAGTTTCCTAGTTGGTAGTAACGCCACATGTGGCACGTATAGTCAATTCCCTTGCATTTGACGTTTACACACTACCACCATCTGTTCAGCGTAGTGCCCATCACAGTGTACTCAACAGATGGTGATAATGTTTTAGCGACGATGTTTCACAGTGATGAATATTCAATGTGTTATGTCTGTTTGTCTGTGCTCTAACTGTACTGGGGAAAGTATAATAAAGATTTTTTTTAATTCGTTTATTTTTCCAGGCTCATTTGCTGTAGCTTTGCGGAGCCGATATTCAGTGTTTGCATTACAAACTTACTTAAACTAACGTTAAAAATCGAAATGAAAGTGTGAAAATATCGCTGTGCTCAGAAAACGAAGCTCTTTCAGATGATGTATAAAAATTATACATTTTTGAAAATTGAAGAACCCATGTGAATATCAGGGAAGGGATTAAGAACACAGGGTTTGGAAAGCAATGCAACTAACCAACTAACATTTTCAGCTTTATAAGCCAACTTTTCCAGCGTTGTGCTGTAAAGTAGCTGAAAATAAGCTGCAGATACAGCTACAAGCAGAAGCTAGCAAAATAGTTTTGGAGAGCGTTTACTCAACTTTTTCACAACCATAATTCAATCTGTTAGTCGCACTGAATAACAACAGCCAAAAATATTTCTTTTATACACATACTAATCAACTTTCAACTTGTTACTGCAAAACAAAGCTAATAAAGTGAATATATTACTCATTTGATGGCTTCTACACAACCAACCACTCTTGCGGAATAACATAAACATCAAAAGTGCTTTTTCAACAGCTAAACATCCTGTACTCACCTAATAAACTGTGTTAGAGCTACTTTGGAAGCATTTTCACAGTCAACTAGGTTTATTTTTAGGCGTGTGCAGTTTTACAGCTTTTACTCTGCTCCTTTACAAAGCTGAAGTAACTAGTCGAGAAAAGTGATTCATGTGCACTATTATAAAGCCTCTCTAGGCCTCTACTCAACGATATTATTGTAGAAGGGCATGTATATTTGTTTACGTCAGTTCAAAGTGTTGGCGTAGCGGAGTTGGTAGTGTCAAGGTTTGCCAAATACGGTCGTCTCGAGTTCGATTCCAGGTTCCGGTGCAGGGTAAATAATTTGGTGGTGTGCTTATAACTAATTTCGATTAATTTGATTCTCACAGCAAAATAGACTCAATCAATTTCTCCAACAACAAAAGCGTAAGCAATATTTAAACCGGCTTCAACAGAAAGCTGTGTAGTGATTATTGGAAAACCGGAAAAAGGTTGAATAAGCGCCTTTCAAGTTCGCACACAACTAAACAGCACTATAACAGCTGTTTAGAAGCGTAAATGGAAATGCAATAAGAGCTTGATCCAACTGTCCCAACAGCCATAAGTAGCTGACTAAGTTCGCCAGATTTGCTTGTAAAGAGGTTGAGTAAAGGTTTCCTCATATCATATTACATTTGAATACAGCTTGAGGCTGTATAAATGAAATGAGTAAAGCGTTTACATTGCGAAAATTGTTAGTTGGGAGTTGGGAAACTCAATAAATTCCTCCATAAAAAAATCGTAAACAGTATTTAATCCGGCTACAAGAGAAAGCTGTGTAGTGATTATTGGATAACCGGGAAAAGATTGAATAAGCGCTATTTAAAGTTGACACACAACTAGACAGCAGGATAACAGCTGTATAGGAGCGTTAATGGATACGCAATAAGAGCTTGTCCCAACTGTCCCAACAACCATAATTAGCTGGCTAAGTTCGCCAGATTTGCTTGAATAGAGGTTGAGTTGAGTAAAGGTTTCCGCATATCCTATAACGTTTGAATACAGCTTGAGGCTGTATAAATGAAATGAGTAAAGCGTTTACATCGTGAAAATTGTTAGTTGGGATGTGCTCTTGATCTCGAACTAAGCGACAAACATGGGGGTACACCGATGGGTAGCTAACAACTTGGGGGAACACAAGATGACACTAACTACTAAATCCTCAGATCTATCCGTTTTAAAAACACATAAATTAAATTGCAATAGTCGAGATCTCGGCTCGCCAAGATGTCTCTAACGTGCCGCAAAGGTTGTTTTCCTCGGGCCCTGAGGGATGCGGATAACTCGGATCTAGCAACACAATGGAGGGTGCATGACCAAAGCACGTGGTCGATCTCGTGATAAACATAAATTGCTGCCTGCGAGCCCGATTCGGAAGAAATGCGAGTCTAATGAGTAGTGATTGGACATGAGCCTTGACATGCCACGTATAAAGTCACGGCTCATGTCCAATCCTTTGAACCACGGCTTGTTCGATTCATGTGGGACAATAGAATGTAACCATCTTCCCAGATCAATCGCACTCCATTTTTGTTGCCAGTTGCTGAGGACTTGCTGACGGGTAATTGAGAAAAATTCCGCAAAGGCGATTTGTCGATCAAAAATACCGCCTTCCATAGCGCCCACCTTAGCTAGTGAGTCCGCTTTCTCATTACCCGGAACTGAGCAATAAAATGGGACCCAAACTAAGGTGATAGTATAGGAGCAGTTAGATAAAGCACTTAGTTTAGATCGTATTTCAGGCAGGAAATACGAGGAGTGCTTCATCGGCCTCATTGTACGAATAGCCTAGAATATGGCTGCTTATTCCGCAACATATACGGAACAGGGTTTTTGCAGTTGGTATGAGGCGCTATGAAATTCGTTGAATACTCCAAATCCAGTGGAAGCGTTTATAGTTGACCCATCTGTGAAAACATCCTATTGTTACTGACATGGTGGTACTTGTTTGCAAAAAATAAGGGAACAACCATAGACCGATGGTGATCTGGTATTCCACGGTCAGATCAAAATTTACAGAGGAACTATAAAAGTCTTGGAGGCAAAAACGATTGGAATTGAATGTCATGTACTCGTAATAGAGACTCATGAAACTTGTTTGAGGGTTTATGTCGAGCAGCTTCTCAAAGTTTTCTATTACGAATGGGTTCATTACTTCACAACGGATAAGAAACCGGAAGGACAGTTCCGCGAAACGATCTGTCAGAGGGAAAACACCCGCGAGTACTTCGAGGCTCATCGTATGCGTCGAGTGCATACAGCCAAGCGCGATTCGGAGGCAACGGTATTGAACCCGTTGCAGCTTCAGGATGTGTGTTTTTGCGGCTGGTTGAAAGCAGAAGCTACCGTACTCTAGAACCGACAATAACTTATTATAGATAAACAACAAACAATCTGTACTTGTCAGTTTTAAGGCACAATTTATTAATTCAAATTATATTATAAAAATAACATTAATTTTAAATATACTTAGGTCTACCGTTCAGCAGCCAGCCGTTGTTTTATGTTTTCAAAAACATCATTACCTATTTGTTTTAGTCGCACCTACTTTCACAAAAATATCTTAAGTTGAAAGAGGGCGTCATTAATTTTCAAAAATTCAAAAGAAATTGTTTCGTTCCAAACCAAAATTACGTTCATGAAAATTAGTACATTGCATTCTACTTGCCTACCGGAACACAGTGAACACATTTTCATTCACAAAATTTCGGTTTTAAACGAAAAGACTACATTCGAATTTCCAAACAAATAATGATACCCACTATCCCCTCAAGGCATTTTATTTTTGATTTCAACTACTGCGTCCATTGATTCAAACTAATAATATATAAGCTGCTGCTTTATTTTTGGCACACATAGTGGGTTTTGTGTAAAAAACTTGAATAATGTTTGAAGTGCACTAGACGTTCGCTAACTGATAGACTTTTAACTGAATAATGTCAAGATGAACCAAATGAAAATGAACATGATGCATTTAACTGATAACTGGTTTGACAAATAAAATGCCTGTTAGATTATGCGCATAATGTGTGCGTATTTTTCGTTTAGGAAATTAGTATTCTTGATAACCAATACTTGCTCAAAAAGTGCCACACTCAAAAAATTACACACATTTTCATTCATTCATATTAAGCAATTTAACTACAAAACCATAACTTAATGACTGCAACCAAATTTCAGTCACTATCACTAGAACCCGAGCTATAGTCACAAAGCATCAATTTGGGTTTCTTCGACAATGATTTACCGTTTGTAGAGGCATTTTTATCACCAACTCCGGCCAAGGTCAATGCAGCCGAAGACGGAGCAGGCCTTTTCACTATGCCTAGACTTTTGGGTTCCAGCTTAGCACTGGCTATCTTAACTTTTGCAATATCTCCTGTCGAAGTGGACGGCAAAGCTGGGCGTGTAAGAATTGCCACCCTCCGCTCACGATCTTTCTCTGCCACTGATTTAGCTGAATACAGGCGCATCAAAGCGGCCATCCTGCGATCAGATTCACTTTCCGGAACTAGGGATATATCCAAACTGGATTTGGCTAGCAAAGCATTATCCTTGTCAGCTTGCTGTTTGATTTGCTTTTTGGCAGCCTGAAAAGTAAAACCAAAAAACAAATTATTACATCGAATCTTTCTCAACCCACTAATAAGCTTCCTACTCTAAACTCTGCTCTCAGACGACTGTTGGCCGCAAAGTTATCTTCCCAAACGCTACTATTCCTCTCGTACAGCTTGCCCAAAACGGGTTTTGCATCCTCCGCTGTTTTGATATCTTTGGCACCGTGCTCCAGTTTGTACATAGGGTCATCGAATAGCTTTTTCTGAACCTCTTTCGTTTCCGGTACAATCTGCTCGTTCTGCGTTGGGTCCCATCGGTTCTCCTGTCTTCTCGCCCCCGTCACTATTACGTAGTCCAAATTCGCAGGGTCTGTTTTTATCTCGAAATGGTTGTCACACAGGTGACACTTCATTCGAAACTGGTAAACCGGTGTAGAATAGTACCTTGAATGTTAGATTGTGGATGAAGTTACTTGCATTACATAATTTTCAACACTTTAAAACTTACATTCCAACTTTTGTCTTTTCAGCATTATATCGCACGCCCATACCGATGTGATTCTTGCAGCCATCGCACCATATGTTATATGGCATCTCGAAGCGTATAATGATGATACCCAGGTGGATTTTGCGGGCCCGCTCCCGCAAGGCGTGTGTTCCGTGCCATTTGTTCAAGCTACCCACTTTCGGATCGTAATCCGGCGGGTAGTAGTGGTTCTGTCCCTTGCGTTCACCCATGGTGGTTTAAGCTGAAAAAGTTGACAGAACAATATTAATTTTCTTTTATTGTTAATTTTACTAATGATTCATCTGATATAATTATCAGTTTCTATCACATGCTAAAATCAACTACATTCGATTATAATATCAATAACGCATCTCTGCAGCATGTTCCTTCCCCATGGCTTGTTTTTGCACCTTGACGTTGGTGGGAAGGATTTAAAATCATGTCATAGTGCAGAAGAATCTCTATAGTAGTCTATTAGTAGAATATTTAGGGAGGAAACTGAAATAACTATAAAAAGGGGTACCGAGTCGAGGTGATGAGAGTAAATAATAAAACACTTAATCCGTTGATGGTTGTACAAATTCTGAACTCATATATTATCGTCTTTACCTTTTATACATTCGTTAGCGAGAACTCACTCTCTTGATTTCTCGTTTTCTCTTTTATCTCTTAACCTAAACCGTAACTCAAATCTCTTCACTAACATCACTACAGAAACCAAAAGTAATCAACTTGCCAACATAGGCTACCACATTTATTTTCGTGGCACTCTTTAAGTAATTAGCTGTTTTTTCTGCTGTTACGCGCGGTTTTCGGAACTCACTTAGTATAAATATTTTACACTTTAATAGATTTACTGATTCAATCATAGTAGTGGACCTATATCCTTTGATTCGTTAAAACGTTTATTCTATATTTTATCAAGTGCATTTTAAACTTCTCGCGGCTGTCAGATTTAACGATTCACAATTCAATAATGATTCAATCAAGGTTGCAAAGACTCATTTCAGCTAAAACAATGTTTTTCTAAATTATGAAATAATTAGATGCCATGATCAAATTTTGAATTGGTAGGATACAAGAGGTTGCAAAGAATGTGTTTGACATATTAAACCTGTTTATTTCACTTCATGAGAGTCACAATCAACGATTTTTCACAAACTCACTCACTCACTCAGCGATCAGCAAATCGCTGATTGTGACTCATAGAAAGCAAAATTTACAGGTTTTATGTTTCCAACGCATACTTTGTAACCTCTTCTTGTAAGTTACAAGTAAAACATGCCATCATACCATCTTTTGGTTTTATTATTCCGAAAAACATTATTTTAGCTGAAATGAGTCTTTGCAACCTTGCCTCTAACCAGGGATATTATGTAAAATCTTAAAACTTAGTTTCTATGTTTTCACATTCGACCAAGCTATACCAATTCCACTCACCAGAGAATGGATATTTTTGCGTGGTCTTTGCTTGCAGTGTTTACCAACTATTTTTTGCAAAAATTACACTAAGTGTCTTGTTTTTGCAGTAATGAACAATACTTAAACTTTATCCGATATTAAGCCACATGCTGAATCGCTACGTACCTGATTTTCTGACTAAATTAGCCGAAAATACGACAATTTAGAACTTTCTCTCTGTATTTACGTTTTGCACTGTTTTGTCTCGAAGTTGAGCAAATACATTTGACATGCCCCACTGAAAAATAATAATTCCAAAATCATCGCAATCAGACCGTTAGCACCAGCCGCACGAAAGACGAGTAAAACTGTTCTTGATTCGCGCCGGCGCTTCGCGATTCTTCGGTTTATTCGCGATTTGACAACTCACTCGCGGTCGCGATTATCATTTGTATAGGAAAAAATCTCCACGAGCGCACACCGCAGACTTTCCCATCTAGAAAAGAACACGCGACAATTTTTCCCCGTTTATAAAATTACTTGCGTTGCAAAAAGTGGGCTCTATTTCATCATTCCCTGAGTGGAACATAAAGGAAATCTAGTGCACCGAAAGACAAGGGTAGGAGGAAACGATGATAATCTACACGAACGCCGGAAATCCGTTCGGATTGAAGCTGCTGATCTGTGCCAAATTTGCCAAGAAGGAGGTGCAAGTCAAAACAGTTTCTTTAAATGGTAAGAATTTGCAAGTGGCTTGTATGTGTGTGTTTGTGTGCGCGCCCAAAATGATTGGAAATATGAAATGAAGTATGATAAAGTTAAAGGTTGAATAGGTTATTGACTTCCAATCGATTGCAGATGCCGAGCTGAAGGACATGAAGCATCTGCCAATTTTGCAATTGGAAAGTGGAGTGCAGTTGTTTTCCACGGATGTAGCCGTCAAGTATTTGCTGCAGGGTGAAACGCCCGTCATCCAGCGAGACGAATGGCTGGAATGGTCTACGACTCGGTTGGCTTCGGCGTTGACCCACAATATGGCCGTAGGAAATCGGCAGGAACCAAACGCGAAACAGATCCTGAACTCGCTGGTCAAGTTCCTGGACGATTCCTTGACTAAGAAAACTTTCCTCACTGGGGAAAAACTAACGTCCGCGGATATTTCCGTGTGGAGCATGTTGGCCCCGAATGGAACACTAAAGGGCGCACAGAATATCGATAATCTGTTGAGATGGTACCGCGCAATCAACGTCATGCCGGAAGTGAAAGCAGCCTTGGAGCAGCTACCGCTGACCGAGCTGAGCTTTGCCTCATTGCAACATTCCAATCACTTCGGAGGGTTGCATCATATCGTTCTGGATCCGGAGATCATCGACTTTGAAGGACAAGTTCTGGTGGACACTTCGGACAACATTGCGGCTACAGTTCAAAAGGAAGAACTCCAAGCGGCCAAGGATGCGTTCGTTATCGTTGAAGAGCCGCCCGTACTGGACGAGAAGGTAGTGCTGCCAAAGGTTGGGCAGAAGAACAATTTAATCACTTCGGCCTTGCCGTATGTTAATAATGTCCCTCACTTGGGGAACATTATTGGATGCGTCCTTTCCGCCGATGTATTTGCCAGATATTCCCGTCTATGTGGTTACAATACGTTGTATATTTGCGGTACGGATGAGTACGGTACGGCTACGGAAACGAAGGCTTTGTCTGAGAAGCTCACGCCCAAGCAGATTTGCGACAAGTATTTCGAAATCCACAACTCGATCTACCGTTGGTTCGGAATTGGATTCGACTATTTCGGCAGGACAACTACAGCTGAACAGACGCAAATTGTCCAGGATATGTTTAAGGATCTCTACGCCGGAGGGTTTATCGAAACCCGGGCTGTTGATCAGCTCCTGTGTCAAAAGTGCGACTGTTATTTGGCTGATCGGTTCGTCGAAGGTACTTGTCCTCACCCAGGTTGTGGCTACGAGGACGCTCGTGGTGATCAGTGCGATGCTTGCGGTAAACTGATCAACGCCATTGAGCTGATTCGTCCGCGTTGTAAGGTCTGCAATAGTTCTCCGTGCATCCGGCAGTCCAGTCAATTCTTCCTGGATCTACCGAAGATTGAACCGAGGCTGCGTGAATGGGTTGACCGAGTTGACCACGGTTGGACGCATAATGCCCGCGTCATCACGCGAGCATGGCTGAAGGAAGGTCTGAAATCGCGCTGCATTACACGAGACCTCAAGTGGGGCATTCCGGTTCCCTTGGAAGGCTACGAGGACAAAGTGTTCTATGTGTGGTTCGATGCCCCGATCGGATATATTTCTATGACCAGTCGCTACTGCAAGGACTGGAAGCAATGGTGGCAACCAAGCCCGGATACCAAGGTCGACCTGTATCAGTTCATGGCTAAAGACAACGTTCCATTCCATTCGGTCATGTTCCCGGCTAGTTTGATCGGCATTGACAAAGGTTTCACCATGGTATCGCATATCATGGCCACGGAGTATCTCAACTACGAGGACGGCAAGTTCAGCAAGAGTCGCGGAGTTGGAGTGTTCGGTAACGACGCCCACGACACTGGACTCCCGGCGGATGTATGGCGTTTCTATCTTTGCTCGTCTCGACCGGAAGGTCAAGATTCAAGTTTCAGCTGGAATGACTTGGCCGCTCGAAACAACAACGAATTGCTCAAAAATCTTGGAAATTTTGTCAACCGCGCTCTCGTCTTCTGCGAGAAGTTCTTCGATTCGATCGTTCCGCCGCTGGTCCTGAACGAGGAAGATTACAATCTCCTTGCCTTGATCAATCGCGAGCTCAAGGGCTACGTCCACCAAATGGAGAAGGCTCGAATGCGAGATGGTATACGTCACTTGCTTACCATCTCCCGCTACGGTAACCAGTTCATGCAAGCCGAAGAGCCCTGGGTTTCGGTCAAGGGAACTGACGATCAAAAGGCCCGCGCTGGTACCGTCATCGGCCTGTGCTGTAACCTGTCATGCCTGCTAGCTACTCTAATTTTCCCATTCATGCCATCAACGGCACGGAACCTCTACACCCAGCTCAACGTCACAGCTGGTCACATCGATGCAGTCAAACCGCATATGCGCATCCTACTGCCCAGTGGTCACAAGATCGGAAAACCGTCTGTCCTATTCAACAAAATCGATCAGACGAAAATCGACGAACTGAAGAAAAAGTACGCTGGAGCCCAGCAACAACCAGCCAAACCCCCAGCAGCAAAAGCACCCGGAAACAAGCTGTTTACTTCCCTAGTGGAAGCCCAAAAGGCGGTAGATGAACAGGCAGCGAAGGTACGCAAGGTCAAATCGACCGGAGCGGACAAGAGCGTCTGGCAGCCGGAGGTTAATATTCTGCTCGAGTTGAAGAAACAGCTCCTATCGCTAAACCTGCCGAGAACGTCCGAGAGTACGACCACAATCACAAGCGACCACGCCACACCGGCAGCAGTGGGCCCAGCCGATCCGGAAGCGATCAAATCGTTGGAAGCGGAAATTTCCAAACAGGCCGAGAAGGTACGTACGCTGAAGGGCAGTTCGGACAAGTCTGTTTGGCAACCGGAAGTTAATGCGCTATTGGCACTGAAGGAGAAACTCACTAAACTAACCGGAGTGACAGCGCCGGCTCCCAGCGGTGGCAAGAAGAAAAACAAGAAGTAAGTTGAGTGTCGAATGCTTTGTGCTATCCTTGTGACGATTATTGGCTTTTGAATTTTATTTGAAATTTCTCGCCCTCTAACGAATACCTATTGTGTTTACTGCATATTGATGAATGACATAAACATTCAAAGTGTAATGTACGGATACGGATGATGATGAATTAAATGCTTCTAATGGATTGAGTTTGACTTGTATTTCTTGGAATCCGAAATATCCTGGGTGGTGGTGGAATAGAAACGGTATCTGTTCTGCTAACATGTTTTTAAACAGGAAATTATATATTTCGGAGCGTCATCCTGGATTGTTGCTACGATGTAATTGTCCTGTGCGAAACGTGGCTCGATTGTCGAACGCTTTCCAGTCAAGTCGTCGGTCCTAACTTTCGGTCTTTCGTTGCGATCGGAATCCTAACAACAGTCGTAAATCTACTGGTGGAGGTCTCCTTGTAGCTGTCCATGGCGGGTTGGAGGCAAGGGCCATCGAGAACGATTCATGGAACTATGTTGAGCAGGTTTGGACAGCCATCAATCTGGGTGATCGCACACTATTTTTATGCGCTCTGAACATTCCACCTGATCGAGTCCGGGACAATGAACTCATCGATACTCACTGTCGGTCAGTTTTCACAGTGATCGAAAGTGCCACTCCAGTTGATGAGATATTCATTTTTGGGGATTTCAATCTGCCAGGCGTTTCGTGGAGTCCATCTCATAGCGGATTCCTGTTGTATCCAGATCCTGATAGCTCTACATTCCACGCAGGAGCTATTAGAGCCTTCTCGACAACTACAGCGCAGCGACGCTTTCTCAACCATGGGGAAATGTCTCTAATGTTGGCCTATGGATCTAAGATTGGGCCCATCGCTAAAATATTTATCAATTTTAACTAAATGAACGCGTTCACAAGACGCGACGCGAGACAAGACACAACACTTATCGTTCTTACAACTTTAAAATTAATTAAAATTTACCTTACTGTCGACCGGTTTCGGGCGTGATGCTGCCCATCTACGGGACAATGTCCGACTGTCGGACATTGTCCCGTAGATGGGCAGCATCACGCCCGAAACCGGTCGACAGTAAGGTAAATTTTAATTAATTTTAAAGTTGTAAGAACGATAAGTGTTGTGTCTTGTCTCGCGTCGCGTCTTGTGAATGTCGTGTAGTTCTTACGTTAGCACAAAACATAAAAAAAAAAAAAAAAAAAAAAAAAAAAAAAAAAAAAAAAATAAGTGAAATGAACGCGTTATTGGGATTTATCAATTTTAACTAGATGAACGCGTTATTGGGACGTTACTAATGGATATTTTGGTTGCTATTGAAAATTTAGTCGATTACTGAATTTATGTATGGGCCCAAATTAGGGACACTTAGGCCGACATTACCTGCATTTCCCCTAGTTTACGAAAATGATCGTAGTTGGAAACTCTGCTTCGTGAGCACACAGGACAGGGCTCCATTAATTTCCTCGGCTCCTTGTGCACTATGGTTTCTTATGACTTCCGTAAAGCTGACCACCGTAGCATCATAGATGTATTGCCCTAATAAAAATAACCATAAAAGTGAGCTTAACAACGTGTCAAAACCATTTGTGGGATATTTACCCATCCGGAATACAGATCGTTTATGGTATTTGTTTATTAGGGTGTCTAGCATGGTATGGGAGAACATCCTTGATCCAGATAACGTTGAGGCTGCAACGTCCCGAAAAGAGCTCACCCTCCCTGGCAGACGAGAGAGCGAGTCAGTCGTGAATGACACTTCACTGATATCTACTGCAGGGTGGCCAGACCTACCGATTTTCGGGATACCTACCGATTCACAGACGAAAGGTTAAAAACTACCGATTTTTCACTTTTCCTACAGAACTGAAGGACAGTGTATTGTTCTGGAGCAGAAGTCCCCCAAATGTTAGTCTAGATTTGATTATTGCATTGCTCGAGCCCTTTAACAGCTTTTAAATTTTGGATGATTATGGTTGAATTGACCACTTTGTCAATCAGTTTTGGCGTGACTTTCAATCAGCGATTTCACAAAACTGGACCAACTAATTTCTATTTTTTTATGAAACGCACAAATGATGGCTACTTTTCTCGTAGTTCTAGACGAAAATATCTCAAAATAATGTTTTATTTCAAAGTTCGAGTGGTAGTAAACGTCGTTTTAACTGCTCGAATGAAGTGGTTAATTCGTGATCAACTGATGAGCATCCATATGACTATCATCCAAATAAAGGATGATATTTATTTGAAAATTGACTGTAAATCATTCAGCTTGAGCTTGAGCTTGTAAATCATTCAGAGGACAAAAAATTAAGACTTAGGATTAGTTGCAAATGCTTAAAATAAGATTTATAATTCGAATGGTTACATTTCCACATTGAATAGCCAGTCAGTAACAGCCATTCCATCATGGATACAAAAATCTTTTGTTAGTAAAGGCAACTTCCTCCACCACTAAATAGAATATGTTTTGAATAGTAATTGTAATTGTAATTGTTCAGTGCATAGGCTGTGCCTTCCGCTAAGAAGGCTTATCTAGGGACCAACCCCCTAGTCTATACACCTACTGTCCTTCCCGTTGCACTCGTCAGCTCGTGCGATACTCTAGACACACATGTGTGGTCGTATCCGGGTCCTCCCCTGGGTAGGCTCGTGTCCGTCCAGGTTCTTTTTTTTTTTTTTTTTTTATTGGGTATCAAGCTGGAGCTGCGTGACAGCTTAGTTTTCAAGACTTGACCCATTTGAATAAATTTTGCTTCTATCTTTGACAATACAGCAGAAGGACTAGCCTATGTTGGCCGCTTGAACACTGGATTCCGTATGCATTGTTTTAAGATAGTTATAGAAAAAATGCTGTGACGTGTGCGCGTAGATACATCCGCGTAGTAAACCGATTGAATAAGTAAATCCGTTTCGAACGAAATATCTAAATTATGTAAGTTACGAAAACCGCGCGAATTCCGAAAGCCGTGCGAGACAACCGAAGCGAGAAAAATGGCTTATTATCATTTAAAGAGTGCCACCAAAATAAATGTGATAGCCTATGTTGGCAAGTTGATTAATTTTGGTTTCCTCCATAGATATTCTACTTACTTACTGCTGAGCTTTGTATCAAATTAGTTAATTTAAAGAACGTATCAATTATTTCAAGATTTCGCGACCGCACCGAACAAATTCTATGAGCTCAAAAGCGTTTGACAAACTTTACCGAATTGCGTATCACTTCTGCGTAAGCTCCGTAGACGTAGGCGCGTTGAATCCGACAGTCGGCAAAGGTTTAACCTGTACCAACACCGCTTAAGGAACGACCTCATGTCAGTGAAACCGTTTATAGCTAGGGGAAACGCTCCTATAGTTGCGGTACGTTAGAAGCGTTAGGTTCCTATAGTTGTGTACGGAGTCTCCATACACAACTATAGGAACCTAACGCTTCTAACGTACCGCAACTATAGGAGCGTTTACCCTAAACATCTAAATTACGTAAGATACGAAAATCGCGCAAATTGTGAACGCCACGCGAAACAACCGTAGAGAAAAAAAAACAACTTATTATCACTTAAAGAGTGCCACCAAAATAAATGTGATAGCCTATGTTGGCAAGTTGATTAATTTTGGTTTCCTCCCTAAATATTCTACTTATTTTACTGTTGAGCTTTGTTTCAATTTAGTTATTTTACCGCACGTATCAATCATTTCAAGATTTCGCGACCGTAACGAACAAATTCTATACTACAGAAGCTCAAAAAAACTTTTGGTGAGCTCTACCGCATTTGCGAATCACTTCTGCGTAAGCTCCGTAGACGTAGGCGCGTTGATTCCGACAGCCGCGAAAAGTTAAACATGCATCAATACCACATAAGGAAAGATCGATTTTACGTATGGTTTAGTTCATAGATTAGCATTGACTGCTGCTAACAAATGTAAGTACTTGAACACTAAGAAATAAGTTAACTCAAATGCTTTAACCGCATATATAAGAGATTTCGCGTATTGAGAGAATTATATAGTAATCGAGTACAACAAACTCAGGGGAATACAATACCTCCAAAAGTTTAAAAGCTATTAATTGTCACATACCTTTACTTTTACTTATTTCCTAAACTATTCCTCTCCTTGTTAATCTGCTTAATAGTATTGGTCTGCCTGCGTTTTCTTGTTAATGTTCAAACCTAAATAAGAAGATTTATTCTACAACTTTAAAGGTTAGTTGCCTCCTAAGCGGACCCCCCGCATCCTAATTCTTTTGTTAATCTACTTAATGTCATTAGACTTTCTGAAGTTTCTTATTTAAGTTCATTTGATGATTATGATATCTCATTAGTCTAATTTAATAAATTATTAAAAGCTCTAATTCACCTAATCAATCATAACCCATGCTTTATAAAGTACCTGCACTTGTGCTTGTAATCTAAAATTAAACGTGTTTCAAGTACTTTTGATTTAAGCCTATACCTATTTATTATATCTTAGTTCGACCCAGGTAACACCTTCATGTGACTAAAATGCTTCATTTTGAAGTTAGTTTCCTAGCTGATATTTACATTATATAGGGTATATGTTCCAATTACGCTCTCACGTTTCCACTATGTCGCACCACAAAAATACATATGGGTATGTCACAATAGAAGCACACCACAGTGGAAATCCCGAGCCATAGTTCAAACACTTATCCCAAATCAAAATGAAGCACATATAAGATTATTTACAATACCATGTCCAAAATGGTGTTTAACATTGTTCCCTGAGTAATACCTCAATGAAAACAACAATGAAAGCTTGTCACGCAAATAGAAGGAGCACCGATGGGCACTTTCTGAAATACTTCAATAGTATAATTCCCTTGCAAACCCAAATAAATCTATCGTAAAAAATAAATAAAATAAGAGTGATTTGCGGCAAAACCCGCCAGTATCACACCCAACGTCAGTGCCTATACGTAAGCGTACTACGACGCGGCTCTCAATAAAAGGAGTAACAAGTGTGATACTATCACTGCTAGACTAGATCTTTGGTTCTCTCATGCAGTGGTTTATCAGAGAGGGGAAGCTTAGTAATCCCCATTGCCTGCCCATGACGCCATTCTATCGCGGCATGAGCCAGCAACGCCGACCATAAACCTACCGTCTCCAACACTCCACTAGCATGAAATTAAGCCCGCCCACCAACAGCAAGGTGCAAAAACTAGCCAAGGGGAGGGAGGCTCGTGTCCGTCCAGGTTCTGGTACATTAACTTATCTATATGCATGGTAATTATACTTTTAAAACTCACCTTTTGATTATAATGTCGAAAATGCTGAAACTAAATAAAGGTTAGTGATCCATATAAGGTGTGTGCTGCGACGGAGTAGTAATTGAAGGAAATGAGGTTCTGATGTGAAGTATTGGTAATTCTAAAATAGGTAAATCAATTAATCATTAGCTGCTAACAGTTACTAATAAATGGGTACGATAAAGCAGTCATCAATGAGTATTGCCACTCCCACTTAAAAATGGGCAAAAACTTAATCATAAATGGATATTCGATTCCTACCGTGTATTTAAAGTAAAGTTAGGATCTTATCAAGCAAGCACACACCTTTTACGATTCTTATCCTACTTACGGTTTCCTGCACATACGACTTTTCCTAGATACAAGCTTCGTCCAGTCAGTGTTGGAAAAGTTCGCGATATTTCACGAAGTTAACCAAGGGAAAAGTTCGCGAGTCATAGTGAGTTTTCGCGAACTTTTCCATCACTGCGTCCAGTATACATTGGCTGTCTCCAACCGGCATGATCCTTTCTGTCTGCTTCCTCTTGCCGGTGCAAGTTTAATTCTTCTTTTCTTGTTCGAATTTTCTTTTTCTCCTATTGATCTTCTGGTCGTGTTCCCATTTGTCCTCAGGCAGTTAATATTAGTACATGATAGGAAGAAATAAAGAAATAGAACAAGTTAAGTGTGAGCCGCATGCATTGGTTACTTATTTGGGTCATGGTGTTTGTTGGAACTATTTATTGGCGCAACAAGAGAATCGTCCAAGATCTCGCAAGCAGGACTTACCCGTTCAACGGTCGACTAGTGAAAGAGCGAGTGCTTGACTTCGCTGCACAATCGAGGCCCGAATCTATCGGGAAACCGATCGAGGCCCGAGCAGACGTGATGCCAGATAGTTGGCGTTATCTGTTGGTACCCTAATAAAAATTGTATGGTTAATTTGCTTAACGACGTGTTCTGGGTATCATCCAAACCATTTATGGAATAGTTCAATAATTTGGGTTATCGTTCGTTTATGGTTATTTTTTATTAGGGTAGCCCTGTGGCTGATGGTGTTTAGCAATAGGGATACACCGAGGGGTTATTCAATATCAAGGTTTCTCATTCCCCACAGTGTTGTCTTCCCTATTTATTTGCCTCTATTCGCTCTCATATCGCAACGTTTAACTCTGGATCAACAATAGAAAAGGGCCCATCAGCACTTGTAAACAAACCGCTCCAAAGCCCCCCACTCACAAAGCGAAGGCCACCCACGCAAACCAACACCATCAACGGATAGGGGAAACTTCCACCTACACGAGGATGGTGTTGGCCTGCGTGAGCAGCCCCCGATCTGTGAGGAATGGGCCTTGGACGGTCTGCCCACAAATGCCGATGGGCCCCCCTCCATTGTTGATCCAGAACTCACCCCCTTCCCTCACACTATTATGGTCGGAAAAGAGAACCCATATTTAGGAATCTATCGTGAACTGCGATGCAGAAGATATTAATAGCAAACTAATCTGGAACTGGTCTAATAGTACGTTCAGACTACAGAGTTATAACATGTTATAGCGCTTTCTTGATGGTGGTTTCTGTGTTGCAATTATTTGACAACCGTTATAACATGTTATAACTGCTCAGTCTGGACAGCGTTTAAGACATATGACCCAGTGAGTATTGACACCTCACACTGTTGTGAATGAGCACGGACGCGAGATTTACTAGAGTATTAAATGCAAAACGCAAATTCAAAATAAAACTTGACAAGTCAACGTCAATCCCCTTATTCTTCACTGAACCAAAACATCCGCAATGCTTCGAATGATTATTGCATTGCTTGAGCCCTTTAACAATATGCATTCGAATTTCGGAGGATTTTCTTATGGTTGAATCCGTCGTCGGATGATGAACATCCATATGACTGTCATCCAAATACAGGATGATTTTCATTTGAAAATTAGTTATAAAACATACGGCACTCAGAGGACAAACATTTAAGAATAGTGTGACATGTAAGTGCATTTAATTAGATTTATAATTTGATTATCTACAATTCCATCCTTAATAGCCATAATAAGCCATTCCATTATGGATACAAAAACCTCCTTCACCACGAATTAGTTAAACATTGGTTTTCATCCTTTACCTATGTTCGTAACAGCTCTGATAGCGATGCATATGCTTCTACCTCGTTTGTCAGCTCAGATCAGGAAATGACGTTCGAATGAATTATTTACATCATCGTTTTGAACGATTTGCGTTATGGGGCTGAACCAATACCATATGCATTTCCATTTAGTATGACAGTCATTCTGCAGAGAGCATTAAGCATTTCAACTGAAGGCCCTATCCCTTCTCATAACAAGTTTCATCCTGTATTCGAGAGGAAAATCATCTGATTTAAAAACAACCGTCATCCGGTTGCAGCTATCATTCGAAAAAGCGATTTCGGTGTTTTGTTTTGAATGGTCTGAGGTTTCATTCGATCAGAGGATGATGTTTGTGTACAGTGTTGGGCAGCGATGTGAATCTGATTTTGATCAGTGAACGGGCCCCATATGGTACATTTTCTCACTATGAACATGTCATTTCCAGCCTATCTGAACTATTTAATAAATGGAAACCATAACATGGGTTACGCTTCCCCTAAGCGGGCCCTCCGCATCCTATCTCTGTCTTATCTCAAATGCCAATGGTTTGAATGTATCAATATATACATTGGAAATGACGTTCAATTAAATAAACCCATACCCCACTCACTTGGCCAGGCTTCAGAATCGTCCAGTGGGCAGTGCGCTCTACACTCCAAGTTCCCTTTCTTTCAAATTCACCCCAAATTTGATATTTTACCCCTTTGAGTGTTGATTAATCACAATGAAACATTGTGACAGAGCACGGACTTGAGGTTACTAGAGTATTAAATAATCTAGGTCCTATTTAGGATTATATCTGAAAAATCCAAAGTTGGCCAACGCCCACCAAATAGAATATGTTTTGAATAGTATTGTAAAATTCAATTGTTAAATTGGGTAAACAATAACAGCTTTGCTAGCATGATTAATAATCAAAAGGCTATTTTTATAAACAAGCTACTATGTCAGACTCAACCACGAGTGTAGAGATTAGTGACGTTTAACGCACGCACACTAGCGGGGGCAACGCCGTGTAAAGTTGTTTATTATTTTCCTCAGGCTAACCTAAAAGATGTATGAAAGTAGATCTGTCAAAATGAGTTTGACATCGATTTGTTATGTATTTTCCTCGGATATTCACTAACACGCTCTCACATATCGCACCAATACAATCTGACGTGAACATCTCTATAAGCGGTTAAGTCGTCTCTGTTTTCAACGCTATCAAAGGAGGATTCAACGGCGGCTAAAATCACACCCGAAATCGTCGTTAATGAGCAACGCAGGGAAGTCGGCTTACCCTCTTCCATGATTTTTAATGGTGAAACTGCTGACATTTGCAACCTGCTCTCAGCCAAATTTGCTAGTGTGTTTGAATACGAGCAACTCTCCGCTAATCTCATTACTTCCGCGGCCAGTAATGTTCCTTTGGTCAACCAAAGGCTCAGCATGGTCGAAGCCATTACAGATACGATTTATAGAGCAGCATCTAAGCTTAAGACTTCAGCTAAGGCTGGACCCGATGGTGATCCGTCGATTATTCTTAAAAAGAACATCACTTGTCTTTTAGATCCACTGCGCCGCATATTCCAGCTCTCTCTTTCCGTCTTGCTGGAAGACTGCGGATATGTTTCCTGTTCATAAAAAGGGAAGCAAACGCGACGTAAACAACTATCGGGGAATTACCTCTCTTACTGCTGTATCAAAACTTTTTGAATTGGTTGTCATAGATTGGCCTATTCTGCGCGGCGTGTGAGTTCGGTTTCGCATGTTTGCAATTTCGGTCTCCCATAGGAGAATGCACTGCAGAAAAGGAGCTAAATAAGCGGTGTAGAAGTTGTCGAATTTCGGATAAGCAAATGGTATCTACCCAACCAGCAAATTTTCAAATAACTTTACATTTATTGACGCGTTTGCCTTTTTTAAATATTTTCATTTTTCTTGTAATGCTTACTTGTTATATTCACAGTGGAAAATAGCTTTTAACTAACTTATTTACTTATTCTACTGTCCGACCGATTTGTATGTTGTTGTATGCAAGGTTTCACTTGTAATTGGTAGTTGCGGTATTCCTTGACGAAGTAAGGAATTTTCGATTTGACAATTTGAAAAATACTGACATTTTCCAAGGATGATCCAAATTAATAATTGCTTTGATTGGTGGAACGACACCTTTCGTTTTGAACGGCTTTAATCACCACACACAGTAAAAGCATCGGTTTTCGAGGCAACCGATATGTTATAATTCGGATTCTTGCTCTATGGCACAATAGGTACACAGCAGCACAAAGAAGTTGCAATCACAATGGAGCTTGTAGAATTTATGCCATTATATTTTGTTTATACTAAAAAAAACCTCAACCTTTCAGCTGTCATATAGTTTCAAAATTCGTCAACGAATACCACACCAAGCACTCAAGTACCTATGTATCATTATTAATCGGAGCAACCAAGTTTGAATAAAGTCTGCAAAGAGTTGAGATTTACCTTCGCTTGTTTTTGCTAAAAAAAAAAAATCACACACGAATCGTACTATAACACTACTTTCCTGGTTTTTGGCCGAAATCTTCCACCACAAGAGGAAGATTTGCACTTATCCCCGCTGTAGTAGCGCTGATGCGTTCTACAACCTAGCGTTAAAATGTCCATGTTAAACGTTAATTGGATGGTTCTCTTAACATCTAATAACTACAATCTGTACGCATTTGTTTGTTTTTATTTATTGTGTGAATCTGATTTTCCCGGACAGCCCTACGTGTGGATGTGTGTAATTGTAAATGTTTCAATTGTTACCATTTTAATGTTTGCTTTAAATAAACGAACTCAACAACCTGCTGCTGTTTCTCTCCTTAACGACTAATTAGCTTACCGTACTTTAGCTAATTAACTCTTAATCGCGGTTTGTATAGCAGTGAACTACTTTCAATTGTACATGATCCTCTTACAGCTTAGTTTTTGTAGTTTTTCATTTTTTTATTCTTGCGTTAAAAACTCTGCTTACCTAAGTAATCAATGTAATAAAAATGAATTACAATAAAACGAGGTTTTCCTTCAGAAACGAGAAAGAAAAACATAAGGAAGGAAGCTTACCGTCTAGTAATTACAAACAAGTGAATGGTGGCCTAAGTGGCTTTTGTTTAGCTTTCGAATCAAATCAAGTATTTCTCTCGGTCTAATACTTTCTGGGCTGCAGCAGTTGTCGTTCGCATTACGTTGGATCCTGCCTCGGGCGTTAAAACTTGCTGCAACTTCCACTTTGCACAACTCACAGATGGTCGGCCTTTTCCACTTTGTACCGATTGTAGAGCATGTACGGCGTCCGACTGAGGTCATTGTTCTGCCTAACTACGGTCACGTTCTTCACCAGATCCAGCCGGGTGCCGAGGAGCCACTCGTTGCACTGCACCCGCTGGGCGTCACTCACATTCTGATCGAGCCAGCGCTGCACGAAGGCATCGAACCGTTGGTGCATGGTTTTCGTGACGGCCGGATGAGTCTGAAAAATTCGGAACGTTAGTCGTTATCACACAGAACTTGAGTGCGTCGACAGCAATATGGCATTGATTTGTCGTACGATTTCCGCAGCCAAAGGAATTGGCTTGCCGGGACAAAGGGAGTAGGTTAGGTAGGTTTTCACTTTTTTCAATTCAAACAAAACAACCCCCCCCCCCCCCCCCCCACAAAGGGGTATTCAGTGAACTAGTTGAAAAAACGCGAATATTAAATTATAAGATCAAATTAAACAAAGATGAAGAGCCAGGTAGGCTAATCAACTAAAATGTTAAATCAATGGACTATCATAATCAACAGAAATAAACATAATTTTAATGCTTAAAAAATAAATCTATGTAACACTTTACTATGTAATACTAAGCCAAGGAACCCTTGATACCATCTAATTCTGTTCCTGAAACGAACTTGTATACGGCTGAAAATATCTGAAATGTCAACCAATCAAAGAGAAATCTGAGGAGAGGTTCCAGGAAATATCGATTATAATTCCAAGGAAATCTAATCCTGACAAACAGCTCGATTTTTTTTGGCTGAAATCAAGCTAGTTTGAAGATAGTTTCAAAAGAATTCCTAGGAGAATTTTTTGAGATTTTTTTAAAGGTTTTTAAGCAGTTTACGGGAGGAATCCAAAGATAATAATTCAAAGGGAATTTTGCACATATGTCCAAAGAATTCTAAGTACCATTCCAGGGAGATTCATAAGAAAGTTCCAAAAGAATTCCAAAGAAAATTCCAAGTGAGGGCATTTGAGAATTCAGAGGAATTCTAAGAAACAGTCCCGGGGCAAATGTGAGTTCCAAGTTAATTTTGGCAGTGGCGTTTCCTTCCCCTCAACCATCCCTCTCCAACGGGGGAGTTTGGTAAAGAGAGATTTTTTTTTTAGACTTCATTTTTGAGATTTTTAGCCATAGGCTAGTTCATCCCGTCCATGAAAGGTGGGGCCTCAGAAGGAGGACCCCCAACAGAGCTGTTTGCTACAGTGTTTACTTCAACCGAAAATTGGTTCCTGGCTCGATCGTATATTTACACAGCTTATTAAAGACACAACATTAAAATCTGAATAAGACAGCTCCACACCGGGGGAACCGGGAGGGCACCAGGCAGAGATGTCCCAACAGCCGATAGGAATTAAAAAAAAGACTTAACTTTAAAATACAATGCAACATCCTTTAAAAAACGCATTACTGCTGCCAGTGTGGAGGGATCATCATTACCCAGCATGTCGCGTATGCTATTTGCAAGACCGTAGAATTTCCGCAGGTTCTGATACTGAGGGCATACGCATAGAATGTGCTCGATTGAGGCTGGAGTTCTACAACCGATGCAAGTCCTGTGGAACGGCGTTCCACCGAAATTGTGCGAGATCTTGGTCCTCAAACGCGACGCTATCTTCTGATCCCGCTGGTTCAACTGTTCAGTCAATTTCCTCGTCGTCCCTTTGATCCGTCTGATGATGAAGAGGGACCGGTTTTGAGCCCACTCTGCGTCCCAAGCTTCCTGTACTTTGTTCACGATCCAGCGCTTGACATCGTGTAACGGTACTTCGTTAGTATAGCGAAGGGCAGATGGTCCTGCCCTAGCCAGAAAGTCAGCTTAGAGTTGCCTGGTCTTCCGCAGTGCACCGGAACCCGTCGCTTGTACCCAGCGATGAGTCGGGGCCTCGGATGTCAGGGCTTGTATGACGCTGTGCGAATCCGTGAGGACCAGGATCGGTCGGTTGGAGAGCGTTGTAGCAGCGATGAAGATGGCAGCAGAGAAGACAGAACATTGCGGCGGTAAGCTGCAGCTGGTTGGTGTGATGTTTCCGGCTAGACTGACACCGACCCCGGCCCGAGATCGAGATCCGTCCGTGTATCGGTGAGTGTGCGTGGGTTATTTTTCTCCTAACATTTCAGCTACAGTCATTTTCATGGCCACGGAATTGTCTCCGGCTTTGAACCTGTCCTTAATCCGGCTTTCGATTTTCGGTAATGGTGTTTGCCAGCATTTGTCTCCATGCCAGTGGACCCTGGCCACTGGGGGAGATCTTCGTTGGCAGCCGTGCGGAGGAGTCTGTTCCCCTCGTCGAGGAGGAAGAACCCTTGATTTCCGGATGTCTTCGAGATGATAGCAGCGGCTTTGGTTGCGATAGCAGCAGGCCAGAGACAATCCGGACGTAGCTAAAAGCTTATCCGTTGCGATGCAGGTCATCTCCAACCCGTATAAAAGACGACTGTCGATAATTGCACTCGCCACGTGAAAACGGATGCTGCGGTTGTTCGATCTATTCTGTCGGGAAATTGTCCGGATGAGATTCACTCGGCTGCGGCAATTTTTCTTGACTGCACTGAAATGCTGTTCAAAGTTGCGGTCAACGAGAACTCCCAGAACTCGGACGGTCTTCTTCAGCGGTATGGACTGGTCGTCGATTTTGATCGGTGGTCCGCTAATTCTGTGTCGAGACAGACATGGCACCTGATGCTTTTAGAGGCTGATAATTCAAAGCCTACTGAGTGGGCCCACCTGCCGCTTGGGCTCTCATCCTTGTACGTACTGGCGTGGGTCCGGTGGTGACGATGAGAATGTCGTCGGCGTAGACGAACACAAATATGTTCTTTGGTAGTTGACGAAAGACTCCGTTCATCGCCACGAGGAACAGGGGAACGGCGATAACCGATCCTTGTGGGAAACCCGTTTCCTCGGGGAAAAGCCGGGATTTGGTGTTGCCGACTGCGACTCGGAATGAGCGGTTGGACAAGAAGTTCTGGATGAAGTGAACGATGGGTCCGTTAAGACCCCAGTCGATTAAAGACTGGACTCGGAAAAATGCGACACTTTGTTTTGGGTGTAACTTTTTATCGCGTGGGTAAAAATTAATGGAATTTTGGGTAATACTAGTTTAGAGTGTTATGTATATGTGTGCAAAATTTTATCGGGATCTGTCAAGTAGTTTTCAAGATGCATTCGAAACAAGAAGAGCTACGCCAGCAAATCTTGGGCGCGGTGATCGATAATCCTGGTCAGTCGCACAGATGGATCGGCAAAATCGGCCGCGTTGTGAAGATGTCCCAGGAGACGAAGACCATCGAGTGGCGCGCTGGAAGCGGCCGAAAACCGAAAACGGAATACCCAGAGAAGGCGTGGAAGATAAGGCAGTACTTTAAGAATAACCCGAACCTTTCCACCCGAGACGTGACCAAAAAGGTCAATTCGTCGAAGTGGTTCGTCCAGCAGACCATGAAGCGGGCTGGGCTACGTGTTTTTAAGGTCAGGAAGGCGCCAAACCGGACTGACAAGCAAAACACGGTGGCAAAATTGCGTGCGCGGAAGCTGTACCGTGAGAGGCTGGTCAAGCTAGGCTGTCTCGTCATGGACGACGAGACATACATCAAGGCGGACACCAAACAAATCCCCGGCCTCGAGTTTTTTGTCGGTACGTCCCGCATGGAGGTTCCGGAAAAGTTCCGGCAGAGAAAGATGGACAAATTCGCGAAGAAGTACCTGTTGTACCGGCATCATAAACGGGCAGATTTATCGAGAGCAGGGTTGCTTCCACTCACTTGCTATAAAAAAATGTTTTTCGGAATTATGAAATCATTAGATAATATAATGAAATGTTGAACTTGTGAGTAACAAAAAGAGGGTGTAAAGTATGTGTTTGACTCATAAAATTTGTCAATTTTGCTTTCAGAGCGTCATAATCATCGATCTTATGATTCGTGAGCGTTCACTCAGAGTGAGCACTGAAAGCAATATTGACAGATTTTATGAGTCAAACACATACTTCACAATCTCTTCTTGTAACTTACAAGTAATAATTATCATTATAACATCTACCTTCCTCCGCTCTCACCGTGGTCCCACGCTGTTCTGGCCGGATCTCGCTTCGTGCCATTACGCCAAGCCTGTAATTGATTGGTACGAAACGAAGGGCGTTAATGTGGTCCCGAAGGAGGCGAACCCGCCAAATACACCAGAACTTCGTCCGATCGAAAAGTTTTGGGCGATCATGAAGAAGAAGTTGAAGAAAAGCGGAAAAAACATTAAAAACCGATGAAGCTTTGAAGAAAAACTGGGAAAAATTGTGTAAGGAAGATGGGCAAAGCCTCGCCCAAGATCTCATGAGCAGTGTTAAGAGAAATGTACGAGCATTCAGCTTGGGGGGAGGAAATTCAATCAATTATGCCAAAACATAGCTAATTATAGTTATTTAATCCCTGAAAATTTGAGAAGTATTCGATTTAAAATGAATTTTTGGTTATCATTTTTGTGTGTCTCATTTTTTCCGAGTCCAGTCTTTAGTTGCTTAAGGACGAGGGGCGTCCACGTTCTGTTGAAGGCCTTCGATATGTCGAGCGATACTATCTCGGTGTGCAGACCACTGTCGTAGGCGTTCTTGAGAACTTCCCCTAGGGTTGCGAAATAGGTGGACGTTCCGAAACCTTGTCGGAAAGCGTACTGTCGGTGATTAAGGAAATTTCTAGCTTCGAGGCGTTGCTTTCAAACGCTCTAGAACTTTGGCCATACAACATGTTAGCGCTAATGGACGGAACTTGCTGACTTCACGGGTGGCTACCCCGGCTTCCGGGGATGGGAACTACCAAGCTTTCCTTCCATACTGCTGGGTACCCGTTACCCGAGCAAAGTCGGTTAACAAAATGAAAGCAAATCGATATTAAAGTGTGCAGTTCCTATCATAATGAAAACTCATTTTGATTTCAAATGTTGCGAGATAAGTCTGATATCATATTGTGCTTTCATTATGCAGTCAAGACGTTTTAAATGAAAGCAACTTAACTTGAAGTTCTGCTGTTTACGTCTTGTTTAAAATTTAATTGAAATTCATCTGTCGTTGAACTAATGATTATCGTTTATCTGATTTGTTTAACACATTTTAGGTCATTCGTGACTTGCCCGCGGTGAGATTGGAGCCCAAGTCTTTCAGCTTGAGAAACATGAATGGTAACCATTTACTCTAGGCCCGTATTCAGTTAAACATTATGAATGCAAAATCAGTAATCAAATTGATTTCATTGAAAGCAGGATTAGTTTTCCGTTTGCTTCAACAGTGTAAAATTTTGCTCTCATTTTTGCTGTGTTAACCGTTAAGTCAACCAAAATGAGATCAACTGGAGTATTCAAAATAAGTTACATCATAACAGCAAATTTTGATTTCAATTTGATCTTCAGCTTTGCTCGGGTAGTGAGCCAAGCCTGGTAAAGAAAGATGATCAACCCGATTTGTACCTTCCTAAAGGTTGTCCTTGCTCGTTTTCTACTCTCTATATACAATTTTCACACTGCCGTACTCTAACGGAACTATCAACACTAAACTTTCATCTCCTCATCTATCGTATAAAAATTACCACTTTAGTCTGTTATTTGAAATTAGCATCTTCAACTACATTAAATCTGGTTTTGAATATCGAATATCAAGAAAATTCGGGGGTAACTTTAAGGGCCCATTTTTTCACCTCCGCTTAAATCTTAAACCAGGTTTACCCATATTATTAAACCTAGTTCAAGGCTTAAGCGAAGGTGACAAAAGTAATTCGGGAAATGTTTTAGCGTCTGTGACAAAAACATACAAAGTTACACAAAGTGCCAGACGTCGGAAACTAACAAAAAAAAAGCAGTGTCTGAAGAATGAAATCGTTCGACAAATGTTAGGCCGTCGTCCCTATGGACCCTGAAGATATTGACTTACCTCTCGCGCCCTCGGTAGCGACTTGCGCTTGTAGAAAATGAGATGCTTGTTCAGTACGTAGCAGATCTTGTAGTTGTTCACGTTCAGCCGAAACTGCTCGCGATCATCCACGTAGTAGCTCTGATCGCCGTTGCTGCTAGGCAATCGTTCGGGTGCTTGTGCCGTTTTCCCTTTGTGGTTCCAAACGGCAACTTCTGTGTCGCCTTTTTTCAGCGTACTATTGTTGTTGTTGTTATTGTTATTATTGTTGGTGCCTGGTCCTCCTCCTCCTTCGGCGGCCGAAGACGCATTGTTGTTCTTCTGTCCACCACCAGCAGTCGTAGTCGTTGTTCCTGCACCGGAGGAGAGTGGCGATTTGCAGTCCTGGTTATCAATGGGAGTAACTTCTTTTTGGAGATCTGCGACCAGCGCTGGATTCGCCGCCTTACATCGACGCACATTACGATGCAGAAACCGTGCTTTCCGGTTACCGCTGATGAAATTCTACAGAGAAAAAGAAAGATCAAAACCATTACTAAGCGGGCGACTGGAAACGGAATAGTAGAGGAGACATCGAGATAGTTAAGTCATGCAAATGAAGTCATGCTGTTGATTCCTTGTCCGCGCACTTGCAGATACATTTCAGGAAAATCTACATTGAAGCGATAAAAAAACTTATGCAATAGGACAGGGCAAAGAAAAAAACATAAAGCATATTATATCCATTATTTTCGAAAACTTTAATAGTAGCTATTTATCGTCATTTTATTTGTGGTACGTTCGATTTGCTCCAGTAGTCTTGAACCGTTTTTATCTGTACCAGGTCAAACTTAAAACTAATTCGTAACATATTAACTTGTTTTGATTGCATGGTGATTATTCAATAGATATAGTCGAATATATGAACAAATACGTTTAAGTAATTTAAAAAAAAATCTGAATGTGAGTAGTTATAGAAGACATCATGGACAAAAAGTATAAAAACACTAATATGAGTGTGATGCTATCCACTCAGCCGCACAAGAAAGTATAGACAAGCATACACAGCCGACATCCGGAACTGGATGAGTGGAGAACGCACAAATTATACTATATTACAAGAAAAAATAAATAAATTCAACACAGACAGAAAATCTAAGAACCCCACTGTAGTACACCGTATTACCAGCCAACAAAAAATATAGACAAAAAGATGTAGATTGAAAAGTACTCCTTTCGGGGAAAAAAAAACAATTACATTTTTATGGAAATAATAAAAGAACAATATAAAGGGTGGTAACTAGAATTTAAGCAATACCTACTGAATCCTCTGTTTCCTGTTTATCCTGTCACACTTTATACGAACTCTAAATACATGGGTAATAGTAGTAGTAGTAGTAGTAGCATGCTCGCGTCGAATCAAATGAAAATGCAAATTTATTTCTGTGTTTTCAATTGAGCTTATTTTCTTTATTTCGTTTTTAAAAATCTTCTGCTATTATAATACTAGTAACACACTTTTTTTTCTCATCAGGAATATAGACTTTTGCTTAGCTGTTGTTTTATATAATACACGGGGGTTGGTTATGCCTAACTGGAAAACTGTGTGCACTGCCCTATGGAAAGAATAAATCGATTGTATGCAGTGTTTTTTTGTTTATCTTCATTTTTCTGTCAATAATTACACTTGCATTGGAATTTGAATTGCGCACTTTTTACAATCTCAAGGATGCCTACAATGTAACGGCGGCAATGCAGTATATCGCCAATTTGATGTAAACTCGAGAACTCGTACTTTATACGGTTCGTAGAAATCAAATGCTCTTTTTACATTTCATAAAGAAATGGGAAAAGTCCACCCTAAATTGGCAAAGAAATTGAACCAACTGAGTATAGTAAGGGAAAACAATCTCAGACTTCATTTGACAAATATCTGAACTACAAATCAATGTGACTATAACGTAACACATCCAGTGTTGCCAATGTTCAAATGATTCAATTTAACGCAAAAGCCAACAGAACCATTCAAAATCGAAGCGAACCTGTGTCCTACTATCAATTGAGCCACGTTAACTTCCAATTGATAATGTGGTATAAAACCAGAAAATAGCGTCCCGATTAAACATATAACTGCTATGTCGGACCAGTATCGTGTGGTGTTGACCTAATGTCGGGTCAATATAGGATCAACGTCAGGTTGGTACATTATATAAAATTGTTGGCATTGACTCAGGGTTTTCGTCGGAATGCCAACCAGAGTTTCGTTTATCCGCAGATTACAATAAATTGAATGGTTTTATGCTTTTCACAATTGAAGATACTCCATGATTTCATTAGCTGACGAAGCAGTGGATAATTATTTGCACGTTCAATTGAATTTAAGAATTAGCAGCACTGGACGAACCCTGAATGATCTTCAATCTTCTACCTTTCTGCCAGCATTCATGGACCTATTGCAAAGACCAGAGGATTCTGGAATGAACGATGCAATATACCTCCTACTTAGAGTAGGAGCATACACATCTCAGGAACTTCGCCAACTTGGTGACTAAAGGCCACTGGAAGGAAGCCAGGGGGTTAGAACTCACCTGATCTTTGGAGACCCTTAGATTTCAAGCGAATTTCTGGCGGGAATAACTACCTAACAGCAAATACGCCAACTTCTTCCACTGTTACACGGACGGATCCGGGACGAGTGTTCTCTAACCTTGCCGCCCTAAAATCCCCGGTGGATCATCAAACATACACGGTATCCACAACTAAACTTCGCTTTCCGCGGGCAATGAACAAGTGGATCATTTTGCGGCTTCCGGATGAGTTTGCAGACTGTAAACAGATCGAATCCATGTGTGCAAGACACCAAAAACTGCAACTTGACGGGATCATGGAATTGATTCAGCAGAAGAACGTCCTTCATCGAAATGGTAGATGGAACGTCACCTGTGCCTCCCATAAATGAGAAGCGACAGCACTGAGATCGATTAGTTCGTTTGCAACAGATTATGACTCTCAGCGTGTATCACGCGATCGTCCGTACAGGCGGTAGCATCTATTGTTTCGATGTGCTTTGTTCACTACCTGCAGCTCAATCGGTGCCTTTTGTTGTCGCCTTTGGAAGAAAAAATCAAAATGATGGAAGTGAAGAACTCGATCGGATTTGTCTTTCCCAATGGAAGTGCGAAGCCCACCATGGGCAAAATTGCCAGTTTCGCCAAGGCGCCTGATGCGAATCCCGTTGAAATGGAAGCAACGTAGCGGATAAACCGATCTTTATTGAGTTCAAGACGGAAAAATCAATGCAGTAATGCATTCCTGCTCCCGGAGCAAGTAATTGTCGGTTTTGTTGGTGGAAGTGGATGTCGTCCGTGGAGAGCAACCTTCAATACATGCGAGTGTTCGATCTATCACCAGAGGTTGGTGCTAGATAAATACGGAAAGGTTAAGCGTTTCGTCTGGGATAAATTTTCTACCAAGTTGGGCCTCGATATATCCACAGTTGTGGACCGGGAGGAGATTCCATTCCTTAATCGGAAAGGGAACATTTTCGATGACGCGATGAAAAACATGCGTTTCTTGTGCAAGATGGAGGGGCACCGGGTGAATTTTTGCCCCAACCCAAAGATCCGGAAAATCAGCTGGAAAAGTCAACAGATAGTACGTACCGTGTGTGGTGGGAGAAGAATCATCGTTAAACTTCGTCGGTGGTTGAACAACGACAAGATAACCGAGGAAGAGGAAGATGTGCTTGAGGAGGAAGCAGTGCAAATGGAAGTGACGACTCTGGAAATCAAGGAATAATTTGAAGAGAAAGCAAGCGATGCCCAAATACAGCAGCCACCGATTATCGGGGCTCCACGATACTTCTACGAGTTTGGTGTAGTAGTAAACTGGACGGAGAGTATAAAGAAAGAACGGTTGCATGATTTGAGGATTTTGCGATATGTACGCGGAAGTCACAACAGAAAACTTCAGAAGAACTCCTTACGGCTCTCCAACGACACTGCTTCGAAATAGTGTTTATCATAGATTGTAGAATTATTTTAAAGGACTTTCGGCTCCGTCAAGTTTTATTAACAACCGCAATCTGAATTTAGATCTCCGAAGTCGTTAAACGGTTTTGAACGGGGTTTGAACAGCTGAAAAAGTCAGTAAAATTTCAAATCATCGTTATACACGTACGAAATCAATGAAATCGACCGATGTTTAAACTTTTACTGAACAGTTCCGTAGTTCCAAAATGACCGAAAAACGGAGGCCTGAATTAGTGTGCGGTAGAGAACATGATCTGCGACTGCCCACAATACAAAAGCCTAAGTAATCTGTACGGCATTTCGAGTAACACCTGAAATGCTCTGTGTAACGACCCGTGGCTCTCCTATGCTTCGTCATGGACACCACGGCAACAAGCATCAGAATCCTGGGCTCACGTTACGACCACTGACTTTTACCTAGACGACACACAAAAACCCCTCTTACGATGCACTACCCACACCACTACACAGGATCACGACCCATCTGAGTGGAGAAAAAATACTGCTTGAACAAGGACACCAACAACAACTACCGCAGACGACCCATGCAGTTCCCACGGACCATAACATCACAAAACTCAATTATACTTAAAACATGTACTTACTGGCCATGGGGCTCCCATCAGGCACCCTCTTTTCCTAAAAGAGAAGAACCATCAAATGACTGAAAATGACAGATCAGGCTAATCAGAGAACGAAAAGACCTCTTACGTTAAATAGAATGACCCTTTGGGCAGGAACAATTCCAGAAGCTATAAAGACTTAGGGCCTTATTACGGGTGTCACTACACGGTGATAAGCAAGTGATACTCAGAATAAGAGCCGTGATTACCGTACAAATCAAATGGGAATCACTTCACCGTGACAAGTTTTCACCGTGAAGTGACATCCGTAATAAGCCCCTTAGAGAACCAAAAAGGTAAGTCAAGTGAACTCAGAGCAAGCTTGAAACAATTTATTTACAAACCCTAATGATTTTATACGCAGGAGGAGGGAGATCTAAAATTTCCAAAAACTGTCAACTGGACAGTCCTAAGTATAATTTAGAAAATTTCAACTATTTTCACTTGCCCGTCGCTACGTTCCTCCAACAAGAGAAACACGGGTCTAAGTAGCTACGTGTTTCAATTAATTTAAAATTTTCAAATATTTTGGGAACCATTTAAGAGTCGATACTGCGTATATGGATCTAAAAGCTGCATTTGACACGGTGGACCATAATATCCTGCTGGCCAAGCTGGAGATACTTGGCATCTCGTCAACTGCTGTGGATTGGTTCAGATCTTACTTGGTGAATCGCTATGTACATGTCAAGATTGGCGCGTCGGAATCGGATGTTTTCTCAAACAACTCGGGAGTCCCGCAAGGCAGTAACCTAGGACCGCTACTATTTTCGATCTTTTTAAACGATGTCGCCTTGCTGATACCATTTGGATGCCGCGTTTTCTATGCAGACGATACGAAAATCTACAAAATTATTAAAAGCCTCTCGGACTGCTGGGATCTCCAGAATATGTTAGGTATTTTTGCTGACTGGTGCTCAAGAAATTTGATGAGTCTAAGCATAGAAAAATGTAACATTATTTCATATCACCGAAAAATTGAACCAATCATGTTTGACTATGTTCTCTACGGACGCTGTCTTGCTCGTGTAGAGCACATAAAGGATCTCGGCGTTACCTTGGACTGCAGACTCACTTTCAGAATCCACTACAATGACATCATCTCCAGAGCTAATCGACAATTGGGCTTTATTTTCAAAATTGCCGACGAGTTTCGTGACCCGCTATGTCTCAGGTCACTTTACTGCTCGCTTGTGCGATCCTTATTGGAGTCAAGTTCAGTTGTTTGGTGCCCTTTCCATGCTAGCTGGATCACTAGAATTGAATCCGTTCAACGCAAGTTTGTGAGATATGCTCTTCGTTTCCTCAACTGGCGTGACCCAACGAACTTGCCACCGTACGAGGAGCGTTGCCGTCTCCTGGGAATCGAGCCATTAGAGGTGAGACGGACGGTCGCTCAAGCTATGTTCGCTGGAAAGCTGCTTACAGGTGACATTGACTGCCCAACACTGCTGTCACAACTAAATATGTATGCCCCTGAGAGGTCTCTTCGTCAACGCGACTTTCTGTTTTTGGAACCACGGAGCCGGAATTATACACAACACGAGCCAATTCGAGCAATCAGCCGGCAATTCAACAACTTTTTTTATATGTTCGACTTCAATGTATCAGCTGACGTGTTTCGTCATCGGCTACTTGGCCTTTTCCGTACCGTTGACCGTAACTATTTAGTTTAAGTTTTATTCATTTAGACAGTATTTGTCAGTTGAATTTTTCAATAAACAACAACAACAACAACAACAAGAGTAGTTTCTACGGTGCAAAAGTGTCCTCCCTATCCACACGGGAAGTCTACCGAAACCACATCGTCGTCTGAATTCACTGGATGGCATGTCCAGTGAACTTCAATAATTCGAACGACTTACAGGATAAGCACGGATGGACAGACTTTCAAAAGAACTTTCAGAGGATTCGAAAAGTAAATCTGACGTGAATTTCCCCCCAAAGCTATCTTTCAAGTTCTCCCGGCCCACACTGAAAGTCTACTAAAACCACCCTGATGCCGCCGTTTGGATTCACTGAACGTGATATAGAAGTTTTCTGGACTTGTTATCGAACACTACGAGGTGCAAACGGTTCTCGAATATCTTGACAGCCAAATAGCATCAGATGGCGGGACCACAAGCGACATAGATTCAGGGATTAATAAGTCTACCGCAACCTTCGAAAGTTTACAAAACATTTCGCAATCTAATCAACAGAAATTCAAAGCAAACGCTGGACTTGAGTATTGCAAAACATCACAGCAGGGGCAGATCCTCGTGGTGGCAAAGCTTCAAATGGAGTCTGATCACCACTTGCAAGACTATAACGATAGACAGACAATGCCGAATACCGTTACTCCTCTAGCGGCCTCCAACAAATAGTGAAGGAAGAGACGAATTGAGCAAACTCTTCCTCGCCTTTGGAGATCATTTTAAACCCATACCAACACCACAACAATCTGATGAGCAATTTCCGAGGCTCATTGATCTATGCTACACTCCCGCATATTGTGAAATGCAAAACACTAATTGGCTTTCCCACCCCAAGCAAATCGGTACATTCAGATGCAAATATTCCTACAAGCGAAATTCTATTGTACACAGAGATTTAAACTGACGACGTCAATTGTACGCGATTCTGAACCACTACGACTCTATTGCTCCTAATTATTATGCAGAAAGAAAAAGCTGACAATGATTCCGTGTTATGAATTCTAGCGCAAACACCATTTATAATTTACAAGATGGATATTGAAAAGTGCTTGTTAAAATCAATACCTATTATAGAGTTCAGTAATTTTCACGCTTTTCCCTTTGTCCTCGACCGCGCGCTGCGCTAGGGTGAAGCGTCTAGTCAATGTCAATGCTAGCAATACTCTAGGATCTATAAATAGTAACAGGTGCGCGTGCTTGTGATAACAGTTATCTTCAGCAGATGTTTTGGTTAGTTGTCTCAAACCGGTTTGCGGATACGCGCTTTCTTTCTAAATCAATTCTAGTGTTATTTACAATTTTCACGAGAGATTTGTTTTCCGCCTTTTTTTTATCTTGTGTGACATCAGCTATTAATGAAGCTCAACTAGCTCAATGGGAGTGTCTATCACTATTGTTTCTCTACAATTCATTGTAAATTGAGAGGGTATGTTCACTTTAAACATTCTTTCATTCATTCTTGTTTGACCTGGCACGGAGAAAAAAAAAGATTGATGTGAAGAGAAAGCTCAAGTTAGTGGATTATGTTCTGAGTACTAACGGAAAAAATATGTAGGTACGATCCGTTTCGGACGGTAACAACTGAAATAGCTAACGCACGGAACTGAACATGTGTGGACCCAAAGTCGGATAAGGAAGAAACAAAACTTGTGTTAATCTTGAAACGATGGAAAACTGAAACCAAAAAACTCAAACGAAAATGAAACGAAAATCGAAAAAAGATGCAGTTATTTACAGTAGACAAGTGTAAATAGAGGATAGTCTCGATTTGGTCGTATACTGTGCGACACTCCACTGTCAGTATAGTGTGCAAACAAAGAGAAATAACAGTAGGAAACCAAGGGGGAATACCATCTAACCACTACTTACCAATTCGTCGTCCGGTTTCTCGGTTTTGATCTCCACGTTGGTCGCTCCGGCTCCAGTTATACTGACACCGCTTTCACTGCCAGTTCCGGTGGCAGCCGGATTTGACAACCGGTCAACGTAGTTGCTGTAGTTCTGGGCATTGTTGAAATTCTGCGCCGTATCCTCGGATTCGGTGTCCAGCAGTTCAATTGTTACTTTACAATCGATTTTGTACTACGAAAGAAAAACGAAATTGTTGCAGATTATTTCCGCAAAGAAAACTGTGAAAAACTTACTATGTAAACCTTGAAGCAGTTTTCGTCCTGGAGAGCTGCTTCCGCCTTCCGCTGGTATGCCAGTTCGTGGGCAACGCGACGATTCGCAGTGCGACAGAGTCCGCCGGCACCACCTTTGCGCTGCTCGAGTTGGAACAGTTCTACACATTCCAGAGCACCTCGTTCCGTTACGCAATGCTGCAGCTGTCGTACAGCGTTTTGAACAACCTAACAGGAAACAATCAAAAACTATTCAAATCCCCGAACCAATTCTTTCAAGAATGAGAAAAACTTACCCTATCGAGCGTAAATGCAATGTAGGCATGGATGCCAAACATCTCCCGAAGCGAGTCCTCGTAGTTGCCTGCCTCCATGTTACCATCTAGCACATTCTTTAGCATGTCGAGGAAGGTCGAATAGAATTCCTCGACCTTGATTTCGCTCTTGGGCTTCAGTCGCAACGCCGTGGCCGTGCTATTGGTTCGCGTACCTTGGTACATTCGCTCTTCGGTGGCAATGATCTGCGCCCGCTCGTAGATGCTTCGCAGTCGTTCGCACAGGATTGCATGTAACCGCAGGAACAGATACCAGTTGTTGTTGGTGAAGAACAGCGTATAAGCTTCTTCCTGTGAACAAAAAAAAAAGATCAACGGTTATACAAACGAATCAACATCACAAGCTTCTCTATAGACTCACATAGTGTTTGCTGATGGCATGAGCTGGTAGGGGTGGGTTCGTTGCTTGTTGCTGCTGCGACTGAGCAGCGTTCGTCGTCTGTGCTGTCGAGCTCGCAGCTAGCTGATCAGCATCACTTTCCAGCTTAATCTCCACCTTGATAGCACTGTCCGGCTGATTCTCTTTGCCACTATCTTCCGTGGACGATCGACTTGCGCCCGTCGTGGTACTACTGCTATCGACACCGGTTGCCGACTGACTAAGGGCGGTGGTGATTGCTGCCGTACTGGCTAGAATCGTTCCTCCTTCTGATGTACTGTTGCCGGTTGCTGTGGTTAACGCAGTCGGTTTGGAACCACTCGTCGTACTGTCTGGCGTTTCCTCCTTTATGGCCGATGCAATGGCATCCTTGTCGGTGGTACTACTGCTGCCGTTTCCACCTGTTGTTGTACTCGTCGAATTGCTGCTACCATTGTTTTTACTATTACCATTCTTCGATGAAGATTTGTTCTCTTCATCGTGCTCCTGATCGACATCCATATCTCTATCATCTATCAAAACAAATAGATCATTAGTACCACAGTTCTACGATACGGATAGAAAAAAAAACTTACCTTCCTCCCGCTCATCGTCGCTTAGCTGCTGACGAGGGGCAAAGAACAGATCCGGCACAAACTGCCGCAGGATGTGTTTGATTCGGGCCTTCTCCTGCTTCTGGATGCCGGTTTGCCGTTTCACGTGATGGATCAGTAGATTGGCCGCATCGTCCAGTATCGTTTTGTCCTTGTAGGGCAGAATCAAATGCGGTCCACTGGTTAGTGGGTTGGAGCTGCCGTCTTCATTTTGCTCGTGACGCTAAAAATGGCAAAACAAACGAACATCAGTAAGCATATATTTCCGGACTTTGCAAGTGGATTTTTCTGTTACCTTCATGTAACTCACCTCATCAAAAAGTGTTTCAATTTCATTGAACAAACTTTTCGATCGTAGCGCCTTGATGTCGTTCTGCTTAAAGTTAATACCCTGGTGGTCCAAGGACTTAAGATAGTACTTTTCGTTCTGCTCACGCCACTGCTTGTTGAAACCCTGCAAAAGACGAAACGACAAGCTTAAGCAAACATCCTGTTTACGCCTAAATTTCCCCACATCATGACACATACCTTTTGCGCTTCGCGCCATTCCTCCTCCTTGGCTTTCAACCTCCGCAGCACCACAGGGACGGCCACCACCGGATTCTTCTTCAATCCCTGGATAATATCAGCCGCTTTGTCACCGTAGATGCGCTTCAACGCCCGTTGGTGTATCGTCGGTGAGGTTCCCCCGAGACACTCGTCCAGCCGAAATCTACTGACCTCATCCGGGGACATACGGCTCAGCTTCTTCTGGACACCCTCCAGCACTCGTATCGTTGCACTGTTGGTTTCTATCACAACATCCAGCTCGAACCGTTCATCCTCGCAGCGATAGATGAACTCTTCGTATTGCGTTTTTCGCGACGTGACGAAGGTGGAATCCTCCGCCCACGTCGGGAATGAGACCCAGGTATCGTTTAGCACATCACGGCAGAGCGCTGTCCTGCCGGAGCATTTGACATTTTCATGAGATTTCGGAAGAGCACAGTAGCTGGCGCCGAGTCGTTTGCACGTGGACAAGTCAATGTCGGTGGCCAGTTCGCTTTGAGATCGATCTTGCCGCTGGGCCGTTGCCAACGGGACACACTCGGGCACCGTCGAGGGACCAAGGAAATCCTGGAACCACTTCAGCAGATCAGGAAACCTGCTGAGAAACGGTGTCACCAAGGTTTGTAATTCTGATTTCGACACAATTTCTTGATTGAACAAGGTTAGACAGCGTAGGAAATTTTCATAAACATCGGGACTTCGCAATGCTTTCCGAACCTTATCAAAGAAAGCATAATCATTCAACGTACCAAATTTGGAAGCCTCGGCCAGCGTTATGTCCCTACAGATCGGTTTGTGACGCTTGATCGGTGGTCCCTCACGATCCCGTGATGAAAGATTGTGTCCCATATGCGAGGGAACTTGCGAGTAGGACGGTGACCGTTTGATTGCATTACCACCACCTCCGTGACCACTGCCCTGGATGCCGGGGGTACTGTGCGCATACTTCTGATTGCTTACGTGATTTCTTGGTTCCTTCTCGATGCCCATACTACCACCCCGTCCACCTGGCATCGCACCGCTCGGGAAATCCTTCTCACTCGGACCAAAATCTCTGTCCTGCAGACGTCCGATGCCAGCTTGATGCGAGCTGTTGAATGGCTTTGCACTTGCGTTCATCACACTGCCGGACATCTTCTTGCCGTGCGTTTGTTGCGGTGGAGGAGGTTGCACCTGTTCGTGCAGACCGTGATTCTTATTGACATGCATCGGTGCATGGCTAGTCGCATCCGGTAAAAACTGACCGAATTCTCTCAGTAGATCCTCCTGATTATCGAACAATTTTGCCACCTGGGTGTACACTTCGGCTTCCGTCAGCTGTTTCGCACCGGAATTGCAACCGCCTTGGGTACCTTCCTTATGAATTTTCTGCTCCTTCTGATAGGTGTGCAGAATCTCCAAGAATCGCTTATACTTTTCAGGTTGTGAGTGGAAACGGTTTTTGATTTTATTGACATAGGTGATGGCATGATTGAATTCGACCGGTTGACTCGGTTGCGCGTTTCCAGCTGCTGTCGGTTCCGGTGGAGCTGGTTGCTGCTGAGGTGGATGAGGAATCACTGTTTGAGAGATCATTCGATGGAGATTTTGTTGCTGACTGCTGATTGTGGTAGTAGGATCGGTGGCAGTAACAGTTCCCACTGGAGTACTGCCCGGTGGCAAGGTAGGTCCACCACTTCCTCCGGAGATCGTACGTTCTCGATCCCTCGAAAAGTTTTGCGGAGATTGAGGAATCGCTGCAATACTACTAACATTGGAGTTTTGCGTCGTTGGTAGGGTGGTACTCGCCGGTTGGAGAGTAGTGTGCACCGAACCGGTCGTGTGACCGTAGGTCATTAAATTGACAGCTGTATTTCCAGTTTGTACGATTTGGCCGCCACCTTGGAAAATGGTATTGTACTTATGGGGAGAAGGCTGCGGGGCTACTGCTGTTCCGGCTGACGTCGATGGCACTGAGACAGACACTTGAAAGGCGTAACCTTGATCGTTCGCCTGTACCTCTATCTTGTATCCAGGCGGTAGGAAGGTATTGAATCCCACAATCAACTCGGGATGACCCTTGAATAGATTTGACACCCGCTGTATGACACCGGGCGTATCGATGCTCTGGGATTTGAACTCTTTCATGATGTCCAGGAAATCGTTGTAAACCTGAGGTTGATTGCCAAAGCGAAACTTAACCTGATCGAGATAACTGAGTGCATCCTCGACTTTTAACCGCTGGAACTGAGCCTGGCCCTGTGGTGGAGGCGGTGGTGGCGGTTGCGGCTGTGCGCTCGAAATGACATTAGCTGACATGGTGGTTATCACTTGATTTGTACCGGCGGTAGCATTCGTCGTGCCTTTGTGACCACGAACCTGACTGGTCGTGTTCACGACATGGATCTGCTGGGCCGGCTGCGGGGCCGTGGACTGCCCATGGGGGGTTGTTTTCACCAGATTGGTACCACCGATTGCCGTGGTGTAAGCTATTTTCGAGAAAGAGACAATTGAAAGCCATTAGAATCAGTGTGATTGTGTAAGTTACAATAGGAAGTTGCATCATCAAGTTGCTGATTTGTTGTTGGCAGTGGTGGTTTGTTTACATGGACTAAATTTGAAATTTTTTTAAATAAACTTTCAAGAGGACGATTTTAGAAAAGAACATCGTCGGATAACACATCTTTTATAGGGTTGTTTACCGGTAATTTCGCTACTGCTTGTATTTTTATGTTAACATCAAAATGTGGTTTAAAGTGAGTGGGAGTGATAAATAAAGTAAGCTATGTCAATTGAATCTATTTTGCTTCGTATTCGGGAGCCCACGAACTCCATTACTGACCCGATTAGCGAAATTACCGGATTCCGATATTTTCGGTAGTCTGATCGATAATAATGGACCCCACGAGCTCCTGAATTCGAAAGTAAATTGTTGAATTTTGAAATAGGAAAAATGGCTCTAATGTTGGTCTATGGATCTAAAGATTGGGCCCATCGTTAAAAATCTTCGGTCCTACACTTCTTCGTACACTCCAAAAAATATGCACGTCCGATCTACGTGAAAACATAGGTAGCTTTCGTCCATACTACTTTTCACGTAACATTTACGTTAATGTCATGTAGCCAAAAAATATTCCCATTTAGTGGTCAACGTGAATAGTACGGTAAATTTTACGTGATTTCCACTTAACTTGGAATAGATTTTCACGCAATGTTTACGTGATTTTGAAATGATATTTACTGACATTTTTGGTTTATATTACGTTTACGTTCCGTGATTTTTACTAATATTGAAATGAATTATCACGTAATGTTTACGTGATCTGGAAGCAACGTTTACAGGATCCAAAAATACAAAGAAAATAATATTTAAACATTTTTAGATTTTTTTTTAATGAAACGTCAAGCATTTCTCTATTGCCATTAAAAAATTAACACTGAACATTTCGTTGCCTCAAATATTTGATCAGAACCATTCTGATGCAATATCTGTTTGCGCTGTCTTATTCAGAGTTATGATATTGTTTCCAGCCTCTAAAATCTAAATAAATACAATTATTGGCACGGTCTTCGAATGATGTAAAATAGTATAAAAACACCTTCTAGTTTATGCAGTGTTAGCGTTAGGAAATCTAAAACTGAGAGCTACCCTTCGTCTAATGAAGCCGACGCCATATTGAATAACTTTTTCATACATGTAAATCACGTAAACCCATTTCACGTAAGTACTTTCATCATCAGCTCCAGTGAACATTACATGGTATGTTTGTCAATTTTACTACCATCATGTAAAAATGGAAGTTGAAGTAATCGAAATGGCTACTTGATTTTTCACGTAGGTTGAACGCGTGTATACTTTGTAGAGTGTACATGCTTATTACATTCTTTTTACGTGAAATTCCCGTAGTATTAACCGACATGAAAATCACGTAAATTTGATCAAAATTCCATTTGACATTGATATGCGGCACGTGAAAATGATTGAAGTGGGGTGTTTAAGGGGTTACGTGATTTTTCACGTAGCTTAAACGTGAAGATTTTTTGGAGTGTAGGACAATAGGGGTATTCACTATGCGCATTGTAAACATATACACTATCGTAAAAATACCAGGGTCAATTGGAATGTAATGGAAGTTTACACATTTACGAAGGTGTATACGTTTACGATGCGCTTTGTGAATACCCCTAATGTATCATCGGGACGGGACAATACAAATCTAGCGTTCAGAACCTTAAGGGCCTAACTACGATGATCGATTCTCTTCATCGATTTTCTCTTTTGTTAATAACTCGGCTGGATTATTTAACATTTCTGGGTGCGTTTGATGTTGCATTTGCAAGCTAATACAACCTTTCACTACACTTTATTGTAATAGTTTCGGAATTTTGTTTCACTGAACTGTGGTTATGCGAAGAGAAAATCGATCATCGCAGTTAGGCCCTTATGATTCTGATCGCTAGAAATGGATATTTTTGGTTACTAGTGATACATTGTCAACAAATGTCAAAATTTATGTATGGGCCCAATATTAGGGACACTTGGGCCGACATTAGGGACATTAACTACAATTAATCGCAAAATTGAACATATTTGTAGTTCTGTGGAGAAGGTTTCAGCTCAATTGATCATAAGGGAACAAAGTTTTAACATGCCAATTTTGTATGAAAATCGACATACGCTGATAATAACCGAATTTTCAATTTCAATTCGAAATCTAAACTTCATTGTGCAATTCTCACCACTTATGTTCAGATATAGGTCCTCAGATAAGCTACTTAGTTAAGGCTCGGTATTGGTGATCAGTAAATCCCGGTTAGCAATTTCCCGTTTTTTCCGGAATTTTTGAAATTTTCCCGGATGTGCGATATGCATTTAAATTAAGCTTTAAACCGAATGCGATTGAGCAGAAACTTGATTAAAAAGGTGTGAATAAAAGCGTATACTTTTCCCGTAAGAAAAGCACGGGAAAGTAAACTCTTATTATTCATACGGTCCATTGTTTTCCTCTGTTCGGGACATAAATCCACTGCGACCTGTAACTTGATCTATTGTAGTATATATAAATGGGTCATTACTACGACAGCAAAATCGTGGATCTTGAATTTGTTTCTGCATTAGAAGTCTTCAAAATTAGTCTATATCAACTTGAAAATTCTCTCAGAACTTAAGAATTAAGAATTAACTTTAGAATCATTTCCCTTCACAGAGTTCTCTTAAGAATTCCTTTAAAATAAATTTGAGATTTTCTCTGGGAGTCCTTTGAATATTTCTTTATAACAATCGAGAAATAGTTCGCAGGACACTCCTTAAAATAAATGGAATTAATTCTAAGATTATCTTCGAGTTTTCAACTATTCTTTCAAACGGAAGCTTTCTTCTATAATTATATTTTAAATTCGCTTGAATTCCCCATATAATTCTGAACCTCAGAATTATTCTCTTGAATTACTGCTCAAAATTATCTTGTCTCATTTGAAATTTCACTTGAATTTTCCTTTGCAATTGTAATTTATTAATTATACGTAGGCTTGATGCAAACACTTTACATCAGGTCAAGGAAGAAACATTTTTTTAAAGTTTATTACAGATGAAGAATAATCGAATCAGAACTGACAGTGGAGTACATTATAATTAGTTTAGTTTAGTCTTCTCAGTGATAACTTGAATGAGTTGATCGATGTTTTGTCTTTGTTATCAATAGGCAGCTCGTTCCAGTAGGGAATCCCGTAGGTAGACAGTCTCCACGAAAACATGTACCATGTTGAGCTTGTACAATTAATACAATACACTCTCGGTGTATCGATGTACACAAGTGTATTCGCACATTCGCAGATGTTTGCACATGGGTTCCACAGATCAGAACGCTCTTCTTCTTGCTCGTCGTGTGCGTTGGTAGCTGGTATGTTCTCGGCCGTTCCATTTGACCTCGCTGAAGATGTTCCAGGATGTATTTGGGTAGTTTCCTGTTCCATGCTTTGTAGAGGAAGCAACATATCCGTCGATGGCATTGCGAATAGCTACTGTCGTGTCAAATCTATTCATCCTGAACACGAATCGAATGAATTACTTGAAGCACCTGTGCAATTCTTTCAATGCAGGAGTAAGACCTGGGTAGTATACTATGTCACAATACGTGACCATTGGCATTATCATTGCTTGCAGTAGCTTGAGACGAACTGCTTGTGATAGCACCGACCCAAAACGACAAAACGGTCGCAGGGTGTTGTACGCCATGATAATTATTGCGTTGACCTGCTCTTTCCACCTCAGGTTATTGGTCAATTTCAGGCCCAGATTGAGAACCTTGGTTCCACCGCAGAAGATAATATCATCTCTCGGAATTACCAGGTCGTTATTGCAGAATATTATCGCTTGCGTTTTCCTTGAGTTAGGAAACAGTCCGTTCTCCACTGCCCAGTTAGTTATTGACACCTGCTTGCGTGCACCATCTTCCGTATCTTCGATAGGATCAGCTATGTAACACTGAAGGTCGTCAGTGTACAAGTGGTACCTATTAACATTTGAGCCTGGAAGGTAGGATATTGATATACATGCTGAACAATAGTGCGCTGAGACACAACCCTTGGGGAGTACCGCGAAGAGTCTTCTATCTGCGGATATTCAATTTCCATGTCTAACAACCTGGCTCCTGTTCCCAAGGAAGGATTCGTTAAGCTGAACTAAGTCGTCGAAACCAAACTCCGCACGAAGTTTTTGCTGCAACTTAGTGTGCTTCACACAGTTGAAGGCCGAAGAAAAGTTCACAAGAAGCATCTCAGTACAAAAGTTGTTATCTAAGTTGTTGTAAATATCATGTACAACCTTCGTCATTGCTGGTGTGGTACTATGGAGTGCTCTGTAGCCGGACTGAAGTTTGGCAAGAAGATGAGGGTCGGTTGCTTGTAGGAAACACTTGGACAAGTAGAATTTTCTCCAGAACCTTCGAGATTGCCGGTAGCACGTTGATGGGCCTTAAGTCTTTCACTTCAGATGTGTTGGATCATCCAACTTGGATGTTTTAGGCAGTCGTGTGACGATAGCTCTTTTCCTTTTCCATATAAAGGGTGTCCACGATGAAATTGCCACACTATGAAATTGCTCTAACTTTTTAACCGTTGGGTAGAATTTAATGAAAATTTGGGTGGATTTAGTTCATAGTGCATTATTTACATCCTGCAAATTTTAAAGTCCTGTGATCAAAACTCGCGGAAATGGAGTCGAAAGAACAGCTCGTGCGTGATAAAATCTTGCGCATTCATCACGAGAACAAGGATCTCTCGCATCGTTCCATCGCTAAAACGTTGGGAATCGCGAATTCCACGGTGTCGCGAGTGATTAAGCGGTTCGAGGAACGGTTGACCACCGATCGGAAGCCCAGAAGTGAAGGAAAAAGTATTCCGTACAACACCAAAAATCACAACCGCGTAGTTGGGGCCTTCAACCGAAATCCGAACGCCTCCGTTAGGGATGTGGCTAAGAAGCTGCACCTAAGCCGAAGTTTTGTCCAGAAGGCCAAAACTAAGGCTGGGCTTCAAACGTTCAAGGTACAAAAGGTCCCTAATCACGACGAGAAGCAGAACAAGTCCGCCAAAACCCGTGCCAGGAAGTTGTACCTCAACATGCTGACGAAAGTTGAATGCTGCATCATGGACGACGAAACATATGTGAAGGCCGACTTCAAACAGATCCCCGGCAACCTGTTTTTCACGGCCAAGGATAAGTTCAGCGTTCCGGAGCATGTCCGCACTCAGAAGATGTCCAAATTTGCGAAGAAATTCCTGGTTTGGCAAGCCATCTGCACGTGCGGGAAGCGGAGTGCACCTTTCGTGACCCAGGACACGATGAACGGACAGGTGTACATAAAAGAGTGCCTCCAGAAGCGGCTGCTTCCTCTCCTGAAGGCCCACAACGTCCCAACAATCTTCTGGCCGGATTTGGCCTCATGCCACTACTCCAAGGACGTGCTGAAGTGGTATGCGGACAATAAGGTCAATTTCGTGCCGAAAATGTTCAACCCTCCCAACACTCCGGAGCTCCGCCCCATCGAGAAGTACTGGGCGATTATGAAGCAGCACCTTCTTAAACGACCTAAGGTAGTGAAGACAGTCGAGGAACTGAAGAAAGTATGGGTTTACATGCAAAAAACGGTTGATTCACAGGTTGTGCAGAATGTTATGGCCGGGGTTAAGGCCAAGGTGCGGGCATTTGCGTATGGACTGTAAATAAAATACGAGTAAAATGGTAAAATGAAGTTTAATAGTTATTTCTCAATCCCTGAAAATTTGATGGCAATCGGATGAAAACTCGAATTTTGCGAATCAATTTTGTGTGTGGCAATTTCATCGTGGACACCCTTTAGCGGGGAAGCTTCTTGCATCAATTATTTCGTAAACAGGTTCACTAAGTGGGGTAGGGTGAAGGGACACAGCATTTTAACGAAGGAGATAGGGATGTTGTCGGATCCGGCGGCGCTAGTACTAATCTCGAAGATTTTCAATGCTGAATGCTACGCTCGCAGCATCGGTGTGCCTGAACCTGAAACGTCTGAGATCTGCTCTGTGTCCGACATCATCAGTACTACCGTGTTCCACGGCTACAGAAACGGATGGTCCTGCTGACAGTTGTTGGTGACCCTCGGCGTCAATGTGAGAATCGTTTGACGACTTTTTCGTTGCGGATACCTTCCCTCCTACGATTACTCCAGAGTTTTTTGACTGGTAAATCTGAAGCGAAATTTCTGAGATGCTCTTCGAATTAACCTCGAAATTCCCTTCAAACTCTCTACAGAATTTCTTTGGAATTGTACCCTCCAAATTCGGTTCCGGTTCCCTTGGTATTTTTACAGAATTTCGCTGGGAACTCTTTTGAGAAATCATTTATCGAATTTCCTCAGAATTCAATAACCTCAGAATTTCTTTGAAAATCTCATCAGATTTCTCATGAAATTGTTCTTAGAACTTATTTTCAATATTCATTAGAAAAGGACCAGGTATCCTTTACACAATTGTCATGGAATTTTCACTTAAGTTCCTTTTTTAATTCCCGCATTTTCCCGATATAAATACATTGTTATAGAAACCCTTAACTAAGATTTAGAGCACAGAACAGAAGTGGAACTTCGGATCAGAAAGTGGCTCCACTAGAAGTGTCGCCACTTCGCACCTAGCGGTAGAGGGTATCTTCTACCTGCAGTTAAGATAGGCAGCATGCTATGATAGTGTGAGTGCGCATAGAAAAAGCCCGTATGGAACGCTACCACATCGCATCGTTTGTTGAAAAACGAACCACGTTTTGATTCACCGATTTGTTTGCACTTCCCCTTCTGTTCTGTGTTTAAGAGTCTGGATGTCTGGTCCTTGGTATTAAGGAAGTCTATATGTTAGAGAACGAAATATACGTATCTCTCAAAATATAGACAATCATAACGGAATTAAAAGAAAATTACTCAACCTACTCCAACAGCTGTTCAGCTTTCATTCACGACTAAAAGTATTTAAAAAAATTGAGGCCAGACCACTTTTATGTTGATCAAGAACTTCTATTTATTCTATATTCATATCAGAATCCCAAATTAATTAAAATGTAACAACTACAATCGTTTTCGAACCACTCTCTGAACTCTAAGGTCATTTCCATAACTTAGTAACTTTTCTGACTTACTAGAAAACCAGTTTGTAGAATTCACGGAAATTCTTCAATTGGAAAAAAACACTAGCTCTGCAACAGAAAACCCAAATAGCTCTGAGGACTGAAGACAATCCACGATAATCTCTGAGAATTGGAGATATGTTTCGTGAATCATGAATTTTCAAAGTACATGATTTACGGGAAGATCCGAAAACTTCGAATATTTTTGACGTAGGACTACGTCTGTGATTTCTATATGGGGGTACACTTTGTGAAAACCGAAAATGGAACCTGTTACAAAATTATGAAAGATATTGAACGTTAATTACTCAGCTGCCCCTGGACCAATTTTAATAATTTTATCACCAATCGATCAGAAATGTTCGCATAAGTTAAAGTTAAGACTTGTATCATTTTTCAAAATGTCACTATCGAAAATTGCACGAATGTACAACTGTTGCTATGATAATTAAAATTATCACCGATTGCCTGCGAAAAGCGATTTTCCTAACACAGATTTCAAAGTTGAATTCCATCCAGTCTCACCAAACGGTGTTTATTCAATCACCGTGTGGTGAGTGATGGTGTTCTCCATTTCAAAACGAAAGGCTCCCCCAAGCAACTAGCTATTAAGGTTGGCCCTAACGGTTGATCGGATTCAGTTCCAATCACCGTGTGTGGTGGTCAAGGTCATCAATCGGGTCACCATCAGGTAGGGTAAGACTTCCTCTACCCGACGTTAATGTTGGTTTACGTGGGCGTACCTTGAATTCCTGAAAATCATCTCATTATTTACAAAAGCTGTTACGCCTAATTCCAGCTCTATCTAGATATGTTTAAATCTAACATACCATGTACTTTAAGGCAACATTGGGTGTGGAATTTCAAAAACCAAAGTCGGTCGTGATATGAAAGTGATCTGATTTTGATCCAGAGATGATGGATTTTAATTCTGAATACACCAATCGATAGGAATTTTTTCTACGAATCTGTTAAAATTAGGAGTATATCATTTTTTTAAATGTCACTTTTGAAAATTGCACCTATGTGCAACTGTTGCTATGATAATTAAAATATCACCACTTGCCTGCGAAAAGCGATTTCCCTAACACAGATTTCAAAGTTGAATTCCTTCCGGTCCCACCAAACGGTGTTTATTCAATCTCCGTGTGGTGAGTGGTTTTGTTCACCAGTTCACAACGAAAGGCTGCCTGCAAGCAGCGAGCTGCAGCCCACATGACCATTCATAGAAGGAGGAAGAAGCGGCACCGCTATTGATCGGAATCAGTAGCTCTTCGTGAGTCGCTGTGGGCCATCTATGTCAAGCGCGTCATATTAAAGAATATAAACAGAGAGAACCCCACTCAAATTCCTATTCCTACACAAAACACAAGCTGCTGCTGCAGTTAATTAATAAGATTTATTATATAAGACCGCGTAGTCCTACGTCGCCATTGCGTACAACCCCATAGGGCTGTCCCTTGTAGTTTTTTTTTATTAATTTTTGTTTCGTTCAACCTATGAGCGAAATTTCGTAGCATTCTGTGAACCTACGGCCCATTTTGTCCGATAGTAAAATCCCCTAATGCGTTGCGTTTGTAATGGAGTAATTCGTAGATCGCATACTGGCAACTGTCATGGCTCTTGTGCCACTTAGCATTTTCCAGGGGTCAATTATCTGCTACTGGAAAACATACAATAACAAAAGTGCTTCCCCATGTTTGCTGCGATACAGCAAAAATGGTCATGCAAATTTAATGCTTGAAATCGCATTAGTGCCCAAGATGAAATCCCTACAAAACTCGAAGTGACAGTGTCTATGATTTGTGGACGCTGGATCGCATCACCTTAACGTTCTTATTCTGATTGCCTAAGGAAAACTATTTGGGAGTGAATAGTCCTCAAATCAAAGTTCAGAACAGGAAAAGCATGACAATTACCATTGCCGGTCACGCCCATTTGTTTTGATTTCGAGGAACTTGTGAATAAACCTCGATACAATACAAAAAAAGGTGGGGCTTAGAATGTGAATCTAAATTTACAAATATGGAAACTGACCATTTTTCAGTACCAGGTACTCTATTTGATGTCTGTGAGAGGGAAATAAGAAATCATACATCTAGTCATCAAACAAGATTGAACTCGTGACAGAGAATTTTATCTCGCGTATTTGATAATTTTTCGGCTATTTGGGACTTGGTTGTAAGCGGATAAAAATGTATGGTAGAAAACATATTTTATTAAATGAAGCTTGTTTAACAATAAATACCATGTAAAACTGAACGACGATGACATTTTATGATTTCTTTAAATTATCATTCACTTTTTTTTTGAGCTGAATATGCTTCAAAAGCGTATTATTTCCACTGTTCCAAATTTATGTATGGAGATTTGTATTACTTCCTACCACTGAATCAGCGCTCTCTGTGTGAAAAATAGACCTGACTACGTTATTTCAAACCGACTTATTTTTTATCGGCCTGATGGCCCCCACAACAAATTCATTGAAGTTTCGGGAACAGATCAGAAAATTGAGGATTCTATTAAATGCTTTACCGTTGAAACTTACATGTCGTCGTGTACTGAACGCTGGTTTGCTGTTGGGACGGTGGTGGTCCCTGTTGAGGAACCTGCGACTGCTGTTGCTGGGTTTGTTGGGTCACTGTTTGCTGCTGTTGCTGAACTTGCTGTTGTTGTTGTTGTTGTTGTTGCTGAGACTGGCTAAGATTGGCCACAACCTCGGCGGGTGTGGTCGTTTTTATAACATTCGGCGATGATATCTGATACTGTATCGTAGGCCCGGGATTATGCGGTTGGCTTGTCGTAATCAGACGCTGATGTGGGGCAGTCCCGCCCGCCCGAGGGGGCTGCCCGAACTGAATCTCTTCCGTACGACCACGCTTCATCGTGGCTGCATTCTGGCAAAAATTCACTTCATTCACTAACGCTCGATTGCACTGGTTCTTGTTTGAAATAAGAATTTTTCCTTCTTCTTTGCACTCACTTACTCACGGTTGCTTAACCGATTGATTTGGTTCTGATTAGCTGCGGACGAGAAGAGATACAGGAAAAACTGATATTAGATGAAAAGTTCTTTGTTCTACATTTTTAGATAAGGAGTTTGTGATGTTATGAAGGAGGGGTAGAAGCTGGAAATTCGATTGTTTGTGTGCGTGTCTAGCTAGTGTTACTGGTGAAAACATCTGTTTAATGGTATCGATCGATAATAGCTTTCGAGATCCGAGCATGCGCGCTTTCGTGGCATTTTGTGCCTATATAGTAGGCTGGTACACATTCTCTGCACCGGTGTGAGGACTGAGGAGGTTACAAAGAGTGTCTCCTCCTTTTTCCGGCACCTCGATAAGCCTGCTATGTTTTTGCCTACTTTTGCACTCGCCCCGCAATTGCATCAATAAGAAAAAAATGCCACCACCACCATATCTCTCTCTCTCTCTCTCTGCTGCTGCAGCGAGGAACAAAACGAGACGAAGCATCACGTAGAAGAGTGCAGTAAAATTTCACTTCCAAAGCGGGAGCAAAACTTTACCGGAATCTTCAATGCCTTTTTTAAAATCTTGACATCGCGCGCCTTGCACTACCCCGACTGACGACGGCAACGACGTCGTTGTCCTACAATAACAAAAACAACCACATCTTCGTTCGGTCATAACGTACAATCGACACACTACAGGAGAGCTAATACACGTTGAATAGTGAAGAACTTCACACAGCGCAATCTGGTAGAGGCAAAACCAGCTCGCCTCACACAAGTGTTATTTATTGAACCGGTATTTTCACTCGTGTTCTTCTTCTGTCCGGTTTTGGTGTTTATTATTTTACCTTGTGTATTAAAAATAAAGTTGCACAATTTCATTATCTCGGTCTCCTCGGAGTTCATCATTTTCCTTACTCTTTCTTCCATTCTCTCTACACACGGGGAACAAACTTTCTCTGCAGGATTTTCCACAACTTAAGGCGTGCACCTTTCATACGAAAAATTCTCGCCAAAATTCGTCGTTTTATAAAAACTGCTGAGCATCGATCAAAAGCGTTGGCATCGACTTGCCTCAAAGACGAAAATCTCGCGACGCACAAAGGAGCGATCTAACTCGGCACTCACGCGACGCACGCTGCTATGCCAATATGCGATTGCGTCTCTTCTAATCATTGACACCCTGTGCTCCACGGCAACCCACCCCATCAACCCCCTTATCGTCGGTCGATCGGTCCAAGGGTAACGTATCTCTTTGTGTGTGCGGCGCGCACGACAGCAACAAACAACACACATCATTAGCAAATGAACGAAAAGCCCTCCAAAAATGCCAATATGTTCTCCAAACAAGAAAACAACCAGACGAATCCACGCACTGCGTGGCACAGTGGGTAAAATATCCAATGTGAAGTAAATAAATGAGAAAAATATGATTGGGAAGAAATTTGTGTGGAGCAGAATACTGTGCGGAGACTGTGTGCAACTTTCAATGGTAGGTTCATAGGAAATCGCTACGGTATTATGCATCTTTGACAAATTTGAGGAACTTTAAAGATAACAAGCACAGTTTGCACAAAAGTCATGTATTTGTTTGGTTCCGTCACAACTTAACTAAGGAATTTCAATCGAAGGTAACATTGAATTATTCCAGGTAAAACAGGTTGCTGGGGTTTACATAGTTAGTGTATTCATGGAAAGGATTCTTCTATTTCGTCAAAAAGAAGCAAATGAATACTATTTTGACTATCACAGCGCTACGTAACAGTAGTTATGTATCAAACAAATGCAATTTTTGTAGTTTTTTTAATCTCCTCAACTTTGAGTTGTTTGTGAAGGACTGGGGTATATATTTGGATCCAGTTTATGATTTTCATGTTATTTTGTTTTAAATGTTTACTGTATGTATTGATTTAGCACGGATATTCAGCAAGGACTGCGATTGAAGAACTTGCGAAAAATAAAAAAGCCAGATGTCCTGTCTTGTCTTCGGTGACGAAAATTGAATTACAAGACACTGATAAAAATCCTCATGTTAAAATTGATGCATAATCAGCATTTTTTTTTATCCGAAAAACCATAAAACCTCGAAAATTTCCCCACTGTGCATATTCAGTGACTGTACGTAATGTTTGGAACCATCTTCGCATCCAACCACCCAAAATGTGTGTACGTGCCAACCCCTCCGCCGTCCAACCCAATACCCTGGATTCAAGCGTCGTCGGGGGGTTTGCGCTCACTGGCATTTTAGGCATCGGCAGAATATAGCTAAAATAACTTCCAAAACCGAAAAAAAGAGACCAATGTCGAGCCACTCCGCCGACTGCTGGCAGTAGTCGATGATGATCATACTACACACTGCCTACTGTGATGAGGCACATGAAAATGAGAAACACAACATCAACAGCGCGCGATGACTTCGACCGCTGGCTGGTGATGGTGAAGCAGAGAGGAAAAAAAAATGAAAGAAAACAAGTTCAGTTCAGCCAGTCGCGAACTGATACAAGCTTCGTGTTAAGGGGGGCCCCTTTTATGTAAGTTATTATAAAATATACACAGAGAGCTGACGAAAACTGTACTTGTGTATTAATAACCGTATAAACGCAGTAGTGATCATTGCACGAAACCATAGCCAACGAGGAATTACTCTTTTTGCGGCACTATCTGTTCCTCCCATGTACAAAACATAACATTGGCAACAAGAGGAGGTCGTAGTGTGTTTTAAGGTGAAAATGTGCGATATTCACAGAACTATGTGCTTCGATATGCGTCTTCGTTCCTTGTATTTGAGGCCTCGCAGATAATATGGCAATAGTCTCTCACGAGTAGTCTCGCGCGCGCTCGCCTAATGCTACATATACACACATTTCCCAAGACCGAATTTCCTTCAGTGTGTGTTCCAATCTGCTTTACTTCGCTGGTGTTGGTGACTGTACCTTCGCTTCTGTTCAACATGAGTATGAGTCTTGGCAAATTATTATTTTTTTCTTATTGGGTTTTGAAAATTTGAGGTTATTTCATCAGAGCGCAGTGGCTCTTTTCCACGGTAGCAAGCAAAAACATTACGTATCTTGGACATTGTCGTCGTCGGAAGTAGAAAATGAATGAAACGAGGAACAAATATTCGCGCGTGATTCAATCTTGTGGCACTGCTAGAGCCAGTCATAGATCGAATCATATGGTGTATGCGGAGCTTTTTCTTCACGCTGAATGGGAACGATGACGGATTTGGACCCTGTTTCGACTGGTGTCTAGCAGTTTGGTGATGACGACGTTTACTTTTGTTGGCTGTGGCATATAGGAATAGTTGTAGAACGTTTGCAAACGTTGTTGGTGGGAGTTTTGAATATTACAGGTGAATGGTGAAAGTATTTACGGATAAAGTGCGACCCGTGCAGTGTTGTAAATGAAAATGACTCGATGTGATCATTAGTTAGGAATCCAGCAACAGGCCAGAGTAGGTGTAAGGTAGCGCGCTAGATTGGCTTGAGCAAATAAACAAAAGGTCGTAACTGCTTTTGTAAACAATGGTTTCAAACGTCAATTTGTCAAACTGCTGGCTCGCCGACGCAAAATAGTACCACCACCACCAGATGGTGCTGTTAATTTACGACAGCAGTTACGACCTTTTGACTATTTGCTCCAGATATTTTCTTCCTATCGAGTAAACAAAATTCACCGTGAACAAATCTTCTTCTTCTTCGCATTTCAAGCTTAATGCTTATCGCATTTTAGCTTATTACGTGTTCTAGATGCACTTTCGATGGCTGTACCATTTTTGCATTATAGTATAATTGTGTGGCAAGTACAATCATACTCTATATGCCCAGGAAAGTTGAGAAATTTTCCAACCCGAAAAATTCCTATACCGGACCGGAAATCAAACCCAGCCACCTCCAGCATGGTCTTGCTTTGTAGCTGTTCCTTTACCGACTGAACTAAGGGAGGCCCCTCCGTGAACAAATCAATAAAATATCCTTTTGTCGATACGCGTTTTCAAAAGTTTTCTTCTCAATTTCACAGCAAAAAGTGATGCATGTTAGATTAAACTATTAACTGTATGTCAAGCTAATAAATCAGAAAATGTCGTGCCAGTCGTGAAATGGGATTAATTTTTAAGGTCGTCAACATTCGCAAGCAGTTTACTCAATATGGTGATTTTGAAGTTCCGCTCTTTTCAAATGTTAGTCTAGATTTTATGAAATGGCTAAATGAAAGTTCAATCGACGTTTGTGGAACTATTGTCACATGATAGGGTAGGTGTTCCAGTAATAGTGGTGTACCTATAGTTGCGATATGGGGGTTGTGTCGGAATATTGAGCGGAACCCGTGTAAGGTTATAAAATAAAGCAGATTTGCATTTTTCACTTAAAATTAGCCCAAAAATTACGGAAAATATTTTAGTTTCCTTAAGATTTTGACTCCTTTGCACCTATAGATGCGATAGTGTTCCTATAATAGTAGAAAAATGCGTTCCAATATTAAAAAAACCAAAGTAAGCAACTACCACTACTACTAGAAAAGTATTCCAAATAATGGAGGACAAGTTTTTAAAAATTTATGCAATTTAATTACGATGTAATATTTTTCTAGCAAAATACAGATTGAAAGCTATAGTTTGACGTATAAAAATTGTACGTAGGGGAAGTGGCTCTAATGTTGGCCTATGGATCTAAGATTGGGCCAATCTGCTATTTATCAATTTTATCTAGTTGAACGCGTTATTGAGACGGTACTAATAGATATTTTTGGTCGCTATTGAAAATTTAGTCGATTGCTGAATTTATGTATGGGCATTTAGACCGACATTACATCAATTTCCCCTACATCGTTTATTATTTTTTAATAAATAAATTGTCTTAGTTCCTCCATTAAAAGCTCACCAACACTTTGTAATACAGTAACTATAGTTAGGAAAAAAACAAGTAAATGTGTTTAGATACTTCCGAGATATTGGTTTTCAAAGTCTGTTTCACCAAAAATCCATGGGCAGAAAGGGTTAAGACATAATGACCAATAACAAGAATGTTAGGCCAATATAACAGGTGGCCTTAAC